TAGATACCATAATTTGGGGGCAGGTTTGACTAATTCTGGTGTTCCGACCATACCAAATGGCGCCAACACAGAGCTTCCCTCCACCTGCTGTTGGGCACAGTTGGCTTTTTGTGTGTTAACGGTGTACAATGGAACCAAGACAGAGGTGTATCCTGTAACATTTTAGCATCTAAAGCGTGGTATATATATATATATATATATATATATATATATATATATATAATATATATATATATATAACTGTAACTAAAACCTTTACTAGAGTCATGACATACAGTTGTTGGCTCGAAGCGCATTCGCCGCCAAGCTCACCACAACTATCACAAATTCGCACGCTGGCATGTGCTGTAGACATAACTCAAAATAAAATCCTCCTGAGCCAAATCGCTTCGCTGTCCAACGCCGCCTGACGCGGCAGCCCGCAGTGGAGCCATCTGTCGGCCTTCGGCCGAACTGGCCGGTGGACTCTGGGTCGGGCCGGGCGGCGGCGCGGCCGCCACTCGCGGGAAAGTTCGCACCGCTACCGCTCGCCGGCGCCCGAAGCCCGCTGCCGCCGTCGGCTGTCGCGGTTTCCAGCGGTGCTTGGGCCGGCTGCCGGCCGCAGGCTGGGCTCGCGGCTCCAGCAGAGCCACGAAGGTGGCGTGGCGGGCTGTCCCGACTGTCTCGTTTGCAATCTCACAGCTCCGGTACGGTGCGTGTGGGCTGAATGGTCTGTGGTCCAACTGAGGTGAACCGAACGAAACTGTCATCCCGTTTGTGTTTGAGACTGGCTGGTTACCCTGTGATACGCATTGAATACTGCCAAGTCAGCAACAGGTCGTTTCAGTTTGAACAAGCATTCCAGTGAAACAAGCTGAAGTATGTTTCGCCTTGCAGGTGACAACGTGGACTGCTGGATGGAGATCCAGGACGGCAAGGGTCCCTGGGCTAACCCCGTCACAGGCATCGTGCCCATCGGCTCCACGTTGACCATGGTCGTGGCCATAAATGACCCGCACGGTAAGTTATTCACTTGCCGGGAAAACGCATTTGTAAACAATGCATCCAGCTATGATAGTAAGTTAGGGATTTCAGTAGTGAAATAACTTCTCTGTCATGCAAAGGGTCACCTAAAAATGGTTTATGTCCCACGTAGTGTGATCCAGCAGTGCCATCTCGTCGCCGATCGGTCGATCTAATTACCATGAACGGTGTGAAGAGTATGCGTTGTGTACCAAAGTAGCGATGCGGTTTATCTCTCAGACCAATCTGAGTATCCCTTCTGGAAGCGAGGAGGAGTGCAGTGTTCGGAGATGAAGAATTCCAAGTGGACGCCCGCCTTTTTAGATGACAATTGAATATTCATTTTACACATTGAGCTGTGCACCTTTGGTGCCCACTCGAAGACGCATCTGAATAAAACCAGTTCAAACTTCCTTCCTCGTCTGCTGAGCTCGCAGTTCACCAGGACTTCAACACACCATTCACCGTATCCTCCGCCTCAGCCCGCTAAGACATTCCAACTCGCTGTCGTTTCAGCCGAGTTCGACATGCGGGTGAAGGATTGCGAAGCGTCGGACGGCAAGGGTCGGCCCATCTACCTCTCCGACAGTCAGGGCTGCGTGCTGCGGCCCAAGATGATCAGCAAGTTCATGAAGCTGCGCAGCAACGACGGCCGCGCCACCGTGCTCACCTACGCCCACTTCCACGCCTTCAAGTTCCCCGACAGCATGTACGTGCACCTACGCTGCAAGGTGGAGATTTGCCGGCACGGCTGTCCCAGCCACTGCCAGCCGGCGGCGCCGGCCGGCTACGGAGGTCAGCCGGCGGCACCGGCCGGCTACGGAGGCCTGCTGGCGGCCGGCAGCGAGCTGGACCCCGTCTCGAACGCCGTCGAGCCGGTGCCTGGGCCGGAGGTCGTCAGTGTGGGCTCCGTCGAGCAACACACAGCGGAGGAGCGGCAGGACACGGCCGACACAGAGGGTCCGCCTGTGGCGCCGCCTGCCGACGCCGTCAACAACGGTCCACCGCGCCAGCCGACAGCGGCGCCCTCGCGCCAGCCGGCGGCCGCGCCCGCCCGCCAGGAGGTGCCACTGCGCCGGCGCGACCCGCCGGCGCGGCCCGCCAGCGCGCGCAAGCCGCTGCACGAGCGCGTTGACCTGGCGCGCCTCGGCGGTGACCTGGCGCAGAAGTTGCGTGACCTGGTGGCCCCGCCGGCGACGCTCAGCCGCTCGGACGCGGCGCCGGTGGCCGCCGCGCTGACGGACGCGGCTGAAGTGAGCCGACCGACCTCGGACGCCGGGCTGGGCGACGGCGACCTGGACCGCTCCAAGTTCCCGTGGGGGCCGCGCAGTCTGCCGGTGCGCCGGCGCCGCTTCGTGCTGGAGGAATCGGCGCGCTCGGCAGACGTCGGCGTCGCCTCGACGCTCGAGGTGCTCTCGCAGAATGACCTGCAGGAGGCGGCCGGCGCCGAGCCGGAGCGGCGCGCCGTGATCCTGCGCGGCCAGATCGGCGCGGTGCGGCGCGGCGTGTGCCTGCCGGCCGCCGGCTTCGCGGCGCTTTTCGCGCTGCTGGCCGTGGCCGCTGTCGTCTCGATGCTGGTGGCCAGCTTCCTCTGCCACCACCGCCAGGTGGCGCGCTGCGCGGGCGGCCGCCAGCCCACCTCGCTGGTGGGCTCGATGCCCGCCTCGCTGGCCGGCTCGATGGCTGGCTCGCTGCCGCCGCGGCACTGGAACATGGTCGGCTACATTCGGCAGCGACTCCACGTGGTCTTCTGAGCGGCGATGACCTCGCAGCACCGCGGCGGCCGCCACTGCCTCGTCAGGCAACCCGAACTGTGATATTAGAGGACTCGCCGGCGGCCGGGGAGGGCGAGGATGTGTGTCGATAGGAGAAGCGGGAGAGCTGTTCCTGAAAGACTTCTGTGGCGTTGGGGGCCAGTGGAACGCGACGCTGTGCCCTCGCCCCCCCCCCCCCCGCGGGCTGTTTTCGTTCAGACCGGGACGAGCGTCTTACAGGCGCCTGACTCTTGTCATCGACGTGACTAATGCTAGGCGGGCAGCAGATGAATGTTCCCTGGGAGAGACAGACGCAGGAGCGGCTGGCGTCTAGAAAATGGCGACATCGCAGTTTGCGCTCCCTGTTCCTGGTGCGGACGACGTCCCGGGGGGACGGTCCGGTAGACGGGCGGACTTGCCTGCCCGCCTCAGCCGACACGCGCAGGGCCGCCCAGCCGCTCAACAGCTCAACAGTTCCAGTCACTCCCTGAAGAGGCCACTGTCGCCGCGTTCGCTCAACACCCGCTTGTTGCAACCGCTCGGGTCGGCCGGCGGTGCCTGCCCGCGTCCTCGCATCCGTTCGGGCAGCGGCGAGGCGACGGGCCGCGCCGGCGGGACGACGGGCCGCGCCGGCGGAACGACGGGCTGCACCGGCGGGACGACGGGCCGCTCGTCGGGCGGCAGCACCTCGACTCGACGGGGCGGCAGCACCTGCCGGCCGTCAACCACTCGGGAGCTTGTGAAGAGAGAGTACAGGAACGGCGCCACGTGCCCATGGAGTGGGCTCTCGGTGCCGGTCTGATAAGGCAACGAGTTATGACAACGCTCCGTGGAGATGAAAGGTGTGTGACGCGCCGACGTCACTCGTTTGGGTGTGCCTCGTGAGAATCTGTGTTGTTTTGTTCGTGTCGTCAGGTTTTGTATCACAGCCTAGTTAAACTGAGCACCTATAGACCACGTGAACTACGTAGATTTTGTTCCCCATGCCTACGTGAAATTGCCGGCTGGCTTAACTTGGAAACGATACCGTAAATGTAATGTGCAGGCTGGTGCATTTCTAGCACTTACAGCATGGGTCATTCGTCCAAATCCCCGTGATGCTAGCGGCTGCCGTGTATTATTTAGCCTGGCCCATTTATGTACTTGCTCATATTCGCGACCACTGGTCCGCTACTGATTCGGGACCACTGGTCCTCTACTGATTCGGGGCCACTGGTCGCCCACTGATTCGGAACCACTGTCCCGCCACTGATTCGGGACCACTGGTTCACTACTGATTCGGGACCACTGGTCCACTACTGATTAGGGACTACTGGTCCGCTGCTGACCAGGCGGGCCCCCGATGTGTGTTTCGTGTCCAAGCTCATTTTGATGACCCCGTAGGATCTGCGGTGCTCTCGTCAATCCCGTGTGAGATCTGCGGTGTTCTCGTCAGCCTCGTCTTGACTCGTCCGACCTGTCGGGTGCTTTCCGTGAAAACGAGCGCAAGGTGATGCTTGTGAAAGGCAAAAGGTAGTGAGTCGGATCTTCTTAAGAGCACTCGGCATGATGAATAATCATAAAGACAAAATCCATCACCACGCACGTTTTATCAATGCTCGCATTTATTGGCTGAAGGTGTTGTGCCCTATTGTTAATACTTTGTTACGCCGAATCTCCCGCTGCCCTGTCGCTTTTTCCGAGAGCAGTTTTGAATGCCTGTTGTATCTCTGGCTTCACGCTGACCACTGATTTATATGTCTATTTATTCTGCTATTTATCAATAAAGTGTTACAAATGTCGTACCAGGTTTCTTTATATACTGAAGTGTCCTGGAATTCGAGAAGCACTGTTTCATGTTGAAAAAAGAACACTAGCTGCTGCACGTGTTACATGGCAATGCAAAACACTTATCGGTTATAATTCACATGTTTTTTTTTAAATTTGTGAGCCTTGTGTCTAACTTTCACCCCTCACCTGCCCTGGGAAATCGCTTCTTCCTGATTTTAAGCTTTCACTGGTCATGTTAGACGACTTTTTGACGACTTACCTGTTTGACGGCTGTTTGTTTTTACACCGAAATTATGAAAGTCCAACATCGACGAAAAGCCATGTCGCCAGCCTTTCTCAGTCCCCGCCAAATATGGCGAATGCTGTTGTGCCGACATTGTCGATATCGTAACAACCATGCATGATAGTGAGGTGCCCCGCTCATATTCCAGCCACTGATGTAGAGCTATGGAGGACCGCGTCACTTCCAGAATTGTTGGCAACAAAGAGACGATCACCTTGAGGACACCGTGTATTCCAAAAGCGTCGTTTAAATTAGCTGCAGTTTAAGTTATCCGTTGAAAGTGTAGCGTTACTCATACAGGAAGCACAATGTGCAAACGCGTCTGGAAAGTAGACCGAAGCGACTATGGGCTACCAAAAGACAGATGATTCGAGCTATTGGTCAGGTGACACGCACGTTCGCTGTCTGCGCGGGAACGCTGCTGACATACACAAGTCACACACAATATATAATATGAAAATGGTACAACATATCACGAACAACTCAATTTCAGCTCCCATGGGCCCGGAGAGCCGCCGCACCCGACTCATCATGCCTCGTCAGCAGACGTCCCCCGGCAGGTTTCCGAGATGAAATTCCGATGACAATGCCCAACGCCGGTGCGGGGCGACACCTGGTGGCGGCCGCTGGTCGGCCCGCCGCGGGTCCCGTGGGTCCGGGGACCGGCGCTGCAGTCCCACGTCGCCCCCGCCGGCCGCGGGTCTCTCGCTGAGCCCTGCGGAGATTGCACTGCGCGTCCGCCGCCTGCTTCAGCCGCTCCTGACGGGGTTCTGCTTGGCGACCACCACCTCCTCCAGCTCCTCGTCCTCCTCGAAGATGGTGTCGTCACTGCGGCATGGGAGGGTTGTTGGAGCTGACGGTGCCACGCGCGGGCTGAGGTGGGGGTGGGGCTGGGCAGGCAAGACAGCAACTTCTGAGTAGAGCAGGCAACTGTCAAGACGACAGCAGGCAACTGCAATCCGGATGACAACTGACAGGTTTGGGCTCGGACATTGCAACTGAAACACAGGCGTTGCGACCGAGACACCGGGTATAATGAATGCGATATTGATGATGGTGCTGGCGACCGTCATTGCGACAAGGGGTCGAATATTGCGACACCAAACATGCACCGGAGGCATTGGGTTAACATTTCTCAACATTGAACATTCTCAGCATTCACAAATCGCTTCCGTCAATATATATATGCACATCTGTATAACTCTGGGTGCTCTGCCGTGCCCAGCATGTGACCTCTTTTGAAACCCGAAAACACGAAACCCCAGAGAGCGCAGAATACAAATGGGAATAAATTTAAGTCAAACAAACATCGAGCTATGTGCGAAGCACATCACCGGTAAACTGGAACTATTCGGTTCCAAAAGAGCATTCTGCCACGGACGATGGTCCGCCCCATCTGCATCTGCGTTGTCTGCTCGACATCATTGCCAACCACCTGAAGCGAAGGTTGCCTTGTAGACAGCCTTTGATTCATGCAATGCATCCCGTTACCGACTCGACTGTCTGCTCGTTGGCTCACCTGTACAGCTGGATGCAGATGGGCTGTGCTTTACAGTTGCCACTGGGACATGACCTTTTCTGCAGCACGCACACCTTGCCCGGCGGGCAGCTCTCGCAGAAGGGGTCGTTCGTGCTCACGCAGAGCGGCGACAGAGGGCACGTCTTGCCCGGCTGGCAGAGACCGCGCGTGGCTGCGCAGCGCGTCAGGTCTCCGCACCGGAAGCGCACCGTCTTGCACGGATGGACGATCTCAGGCACTGCGGACGAGCGTGGCGGTCAGCGCGACGGTGGCGCCATCGGACAGCAGCGCGTTGCACTGTTAGTGATGGGAGCCCGCACGATGTGGCTGATGTCATGCTGGTAAAGATAGGCAGATTGCTCTGGTCAGGGTGAGCGAGCAACAGATGCAGGCGGAGTCACTAGTGAGCGGCAGTTTTGGCTGCATCTGATGAATGTAGGACAAGTAATGGTGGGAACAGGGTCGACGCAACGTCAGAACAGCAAGTAACTACTTTTACATCGGTAGAAACCGGTGACCCATGCTTAATCCTAAGGCATTAATTTCTGCGAAGCCTTTGCGTGGCTTCTCCACCCTTTGGATGACATTGACGTTAGACCAGACGTCAGCGGTGACCACAGGCCCAGCTCTCTTCCTTTATCTTAATTCGCTCACTGACAGTGCGATATCTTCAAAGTTCAGCTTCTTCGCTCTTATCCGAGCCAAAACACCAGCGGCGCAATCTCCTCTAGGATTATGCGGTTTTGGGAAAACAACGCTATTATCCTCCCCTGCAGCCTGATTCCTCCGACGGTGCTGGGTCTGGCAGAACGGCGCGAGTCCCGACTCACCCCGCACTAGGCGGTAGTTCATCGCCGTGTGCAACACCCGTCACACTATTCTCACACTATTCTCACGCTATCCCCCCAGCGACCAGCTTTCGGAAAGCTACAGCCACTGGATCACGTGGGGTAGAACGACAGTCGGATGTGTGTGACAAAGTAAGCGGACGTACCCGGCTTCTGACACGTGTGCCCGCAGCCTGTGAAGCAGCACTTGTCCTCCTTTTCACAGTTGTAGTCGCTGTCGCAGTCCTCCACGCATTTGCCCTTGTAGCCCTTGGTCAATTTCGGACAGAAGCCCGGTTTCACTGCGGCACGGGTGGAAAGGCGGATTACGGGGAGCGAAAGTGGAGCAACCGCTACCAATGACAAAAGTAGCTGCTGTATCGCAGCTGCACTAAGCCACCCAATGTCTCAACAGTTTAGAAGTGAATGGACCGACAGCCTCAACTATGACAGTACTTACGCGAGCAATTTTAACGCAATTTAACATGGTCAGTGTGTCCGTTTTAAAACAGCGAAACAATGCTTCAGGCTGAAAACTTAACCGCATTGTCGACTTAAGCCGCTGCACTGGAAAGCCAATACGAAATAATGACATGCTTTGCACTGCAGTTATTTGACCTCTTACCCGGTGGGCACTCTTCCTGGGAGCAGAGCAAGAAGCCGTTGATGCAGGTGCAGCTGTTACACTCAATATCAATAATTTCACCATCCTGCTTGCAAGCTGCGAAGGAAGAAACACATTGACGCATCAACAGCTGCTCTAAAAGATAAATATGCGAGCCTAACATATTCATAACTCAAGCTGGGAGATTCCAAAACGCGGTGAAATGACTAGCTAGTTCATCTGGCTTCATTCCTGGCAAAGTCATTATCAGAAGGTGACAAGCGAGTGCCAAAGCTGAAGCATACGAAGTATAAATACGGCATCGGTATCCTCCGCATCTTAACAAAAACCAGCACCTGAATATTTCCCAAGAGAACGCGCCGCTGAGCGCGCCACAACGCACAGGAGTACAGCTCGGCACGAACACCACAAGCTGACCATCATGAGCCCTCCGGCCGGCGTGTGCCTCGCCTCGCGCCCCGCCGCCGCGGCGCCACCGGCGGGCTCACGAGCCCCAGCCCGGGCCGCCACTCACGGATGGGAGAGCAGATGGGGTTGCCGGAGCGGTCCTCGTCGCAGCGGAAGCCGACCTTGCACTTGATCTGCTCGCAGTCCGGCTTGCGGGGCCGCAGGCAGACGTTGGCGCAGCCGTTGAAGCAGCACTTGGAGTTGTCGGCGCACTGGGAGTCGTACTTGCACGTGTCCCTGCACCCGCCGCGCGGCTGCGTGTCGTTGGAGATCTTCGGGCAGAGGCCGTCCTTTTCGGCTGCAACGACAGGGGGTCTCTTGATGTGTGTTCTCCTGTCAGGAGTTGGCGGTGTCGCTGCCCCGACACGCGCGACTGGTTTGTGGACCACAGACCGTGTGTGGGGAGTGCAGGTCGAACTTGTGTGTCCTAATGCCAGTACGAGATTGGTAGCCGGGTGTCACCTTCACATTAACTGCTTGTGGTCTTAGCTTGGTGTACCGAACGCTTGCACCTGGCTTACCGATTTGGCAAAAATGAACTACAGTGGGTCCTTGACCGAGAGAAGTAGGAATAGCTCACGCTGCTCTCATGAGCACATGCCATTATAACATACGTGCATTGCGTTAAAGTTCAAGATGACACATCTCATCCGTCATTCAAAGCAAATCTTAACATTCGCATTGTCCGGTTGGGCAATATTTACACTCGGGCTCTAGCAAGGACGTCTGAAACGATTGCTCATTTGTCATTCTCATTAATGCCATGAAATTTATTGTCACCTGCCTCTTCCGATGTAGGCTGCTAGCATACCTTTCTAAAGGAGTTCAGGAAATAGGCTTTGCCAACACTTGTTTTGTAAAACTCATTTGTCCTGTAGAATCTGAAGCTTTTTCCTAAAATAATCGCATTAAGGAACACAACATTTTTCTGTACCAGGTAAAGTGTTCCCGCTCAAACGAACTGTCATCCTTGACTGGCCTCGGCTGATCTTACGCGTAAATGAAGCATCTGCAGCATTCAGCACGTGCTTTTCATTTCACTGATGGTGTCCAACTCATTCCCAACAAAATCAGCCCGCTCATGGTGGCCAGATCCGGGACAAAACGCCGCCCGCTTGACCTGAGCACGTGTGCAGATTGGCATCACGGGGTGAAAGTGCCGCGTGCCTTCGTGCACTTCCCGTCCGGAGAGGGAAGAGGCCCCAGAAGGGGCCGGCCGCGCCGAACCGGGCCCGTCCGGCCCTCTGCAGACCGTTCGCCGAGAGCGAAAGTCGCCGCCGGCCCCTCCGCCAAGCGCCGTTGCACCAGAGCCGGGCGCCGCCAAGAATGCGACCGGCGCGCCGGTTACGCGGCGTGTGCGGGCGTGCCGGCCGCTACGCCCGCGAGGGGGCGGCGCCGGCGCCTCTGCGGCGCGGGGCGACGCCGGTTGCCCAACTGGGGCCCGTCCGCGGCGTCCGCCCGGGCCGGCCGGCAGTGGACGCCGTCGCGTGGCCTCCCGCCCGCAGAGGCGCACTGCCAGCGACGAGGCGGTGCCGGGTCAGGACCTCTCGGCGTTGGCCAATGCCGCGCCTGGTGCCAGGGTCTGTGGCGCCGCCAGATCATTACCGCTGGGCGGCAGTGAGAGTGGAGAGCGCAGGCTCGCCGCTGTTCAACGAATCAGCGCGGGCGATGGGTGCAACACGTTTGGTGACACGATGTAAATCGCGATCGCCCAGTTGCAAAATCATCGCGGGAATGGGATCTAGCTCACCGGTGTTTTGGCAGGCGGAGGTGCAGTGATGCTATTCACAGCTTGCTGTATGTGATCGCATTGTAAGACGCATTGCGTATACGAATACATATACAGTGATGCTCCTGTTAAGCAATGACCTCGTCAGATATTGTTTACGGTCGTTTCCTGGCACACAGGAAGGGTGTTTCTGCACCCCAAAGACTGTGCCTCACTCCCAGTGAATGTTTGTGGATGTGAGGCATGCTTCGGGAACACATGTGTTCGAATTACGAGTGGGCGAGTAGCTTTAATGTCCTGAGCCTAAGTACCTTTAATGCAGCACCGGCAGTGACGGGTGTACGGTAGTGTGTCGTCTCCTCTTTCCTCCTTTTCTCTCCCCTCTCTACCCACCGGGCGGTGGCGAGTACCGAAAATTTGTTTTCCCTAGACTCGTTCTGATCTCAGCCCATGAACTCCCGGCGGTAACAACACTCAAACGGGCATTCACCACCCTGGACTCCCCCCCCCCCCGCCGCTCGACGCTGTCCACTGACCTGTGTCGAAGCACTCCGCGTCACCGATCGGGTTCTCGATGCACGCGAAGCCCGGCTCGCAGCTGATGTCCTCACACAGCTTGCGGAGGTCGGGCGCCACACACACGTTCGCGCAGCCGTTGTTGCAGCACTTGAAGTTGTCCGGGCACTCCGAGTCGTACTGGCACTCGTCCTCCCCGCACTTCTTGTACTGGTCCGGCGTCCACTTGGGGCAGCGACCGTCCCGCGGCTCTGGGGTCGAGGGGCACGCAGGTCAGGTCTGGCCAGGTCAGGTCGGGACGGACAGGTCAGGTCCACTTGGGGTAGCGACCGTTCCGCGGCTCTGAGGTCGAGGCGCACGCAGGTCAGGTCTGGTCAGGTCAGGTCGGGATGGGCAGGTTAGGTCCAGTCGGGTTGATAACCTTGGAAACATGCGGTTCGGCAAATCAAATTTGTTGCAAGCGGGACAAGAACTAGACTAAGAAAAGTTACTGTAGTGCAACTTGGCGTATGTCTCACTAGAAGTTTTCGTAGTTGGCTGCATGGCCATGAAAAAAGCGAATGACATCTTATGAACAACGGAACCGTCTGGAAAATGCTTCCCATCCAGTGCAATGCCTTGCGATGTATCTGGCAGGTGCCGTGGACGACACACCCCATTAGCGTAGCTCCCCACATTCAGTTCGACGTGCCAGATGCGTTTCCCTGCCCGCTCAGCCTCCGCCTGTCGCTGACCTTTGCTGACGCACTTGGCGTCATTGACGCCGTCGTCGACGCAGGCGTAGCCTTCCACGCAGTTATGGTCCTCGCAGCGCCTGCGCAGGTCGGGCGGCACGCACACGTTGGCGCAGCCGTTGAAGCAGCAGCGCTCGTCTCCCTGGCACTGGAAGTCGAAGCGGCACTCGTCCTCGCAGCTCCTCGTCTTCGGGTCCCACAGATCCTCGGCCGGGCAGCGGCCCACCTTGTTGGCTGCGGGTGGCAGACGCCGGAGTCAGCGCCACAGACGCCCACACGCTCAAGGGTCAGCGCAGGTCAGCATGGGTCAGCGCAGGTCAGCAATAGTTAGCGCAGGTCAGCATGGGTCAGCGTAGGTCAGCATGGGTCGCCGCAGGTCAGCAATAGTCAGCGCAGGTCAGCATGGATCAGGGTAGGTCAGCATGTGGCAGCTCAGGTCAGCATGGGTCAGCGCAGGTCAACAATAGTCAGCGCACGTCAGCATGGGTCAGTGCAGATCAGCATGGGTCAGCGCAGGTCAGCATGGGTTAGCGCAAGTCAGCAATAGCCAGCGCAGGTCAGCATGGGTCAGCGCGGGTCAGCATGGGGCAGCTAGTCGCGCCTTGCTGTGCAATGACCAGGGTGAGTAATTTCGCTCAGAAAGCGCTCCATGACAATATGGTTAATATACGTATCGTATCTAAGCATTACTAATTGTCGTATTAATGCAACCGAATTGATTACGCGCTTAAATGGCACAAATATTATAATTTCCGCTAAGTATAGCTTGATGCACTGACGACTACGCTGGCAACTTGGAAAGTACGATCTGCAGTTAATCTAAGCGGCCGCATTGGATAGAGCAACGCTCTTTCAACCGACCTGGGACCTGTGCGACCAACGGGTGGGTCGCGTTCTGGGCCCATGCTCGGGCCGGAAGAGCCCAAGCCGGGGTCGGATGTCACAACGCGGGGTCATAGGTCCGAGCGTGTTGTCCCAGCACGCATCCGGTCGGAATGCGCCGCCTCGCAGCCCGATCATTACCTCTCGTTGGTGCATGTGTTCGTACAGGATGGGTAACTGAACGCAAGCGCTTACGTTACAGCAGTTGATGTGTGCCAACTGCGGCCGACCCACCTCCAGTGCAGTGCACGTGTGATAAGCCTCATGAATGCGCGCATCTATTCGTTTCGATACAGGTGCACGGCGCCATGCGATGAAGCCGACAAAATGCAAAAACTTTCCCCTGCACATCGCGCCGTTGAAGTAATGCGTTGTTGTGTACCTTCAGCGCGCATCCTTATGTGTCCCGTGAGGATGCAAAACAGTGTGGGTGCCGCCAGCACAACTGTCGCGAGACGAACGATGTGAATCACCTGGAACGTCCTGCAGCAAACGCGGGGGCGGCCTACGACTGCAGCAGGTGCAATCGGTCCCTCTCCAACACTCACTCGTGTTGACACAGTAGGCGTCCTTGATCTTGGCAGGGTCGTCTATGCAGGCGTGTCCCTCTTGGCACTGGAAGTCGAAGTCGTCGCAGGTCTTCCTGAAGACGGGGTCGAGACAGACATTGGCGCAGCCGTTGTTACAGCAGCGCTGCTGCTTGGGGCACTCGGAGTCGTACTTGCACTCGTCCTGACAGTCGCCGCGGTAGGCGCCCGGCCTCAGCGGCGGACATTTGCCGGCCTTGACCTCTGCGGGGTCACAGGGGGACAAAAGGTCAGCGAGTTCGGTGACATCTGAGGCGAGGTAAGGCAAGGTGAGGAGGAAGGGGTGGTGAGGGTATGCAGGAGGCTGCCCGATAAACTGGGCATTTGAATGCATAGTACAAGGTTTGCATGCTGTGGATGCAACAGGTCAAATGTTATGGAAATGAAGTTTTCATGATATTTATCCTTAACATTTATTATAAAATGTATTAGTGTCTATTTGTGACTCGCTCCGTATGTTGTGCTTTGTCACTAGTGATAGACGTGTTGGCAAGCGCGAGCAAGTGACGAAAATTTTAATTTGCACGTTGTTTTGCGTTGCTCTGAGCGTCTTGAGTGTTCTAAGCGACATCCAGTCAACACGGCATCCAACCAATAGCTGGAGACCGCAGCACGTGACGTAAATTCAACGATGACACCTCTGATTAATCGTGCGGGCTTCAGAGCTCTATTCACTGCCCGAAAACAAGTAGCTAGGACGCTCACTTCGGTTTAGCATTCAAATCAGGTAGTCTCAGTCGCGGGTGTCGCTCCTGCATCGCACACTGTCTTTCTGCGGCTAGGCCAAGGTGGTATGGTTGTGGTTTGATGCATAGGGGAATGAATTTTCGCCTTTCGCATGCCCCATGAAGCCAGTGCGCAGAAGCCAACGCACACCACCTCCCCGAGATGTCTATGTCAAGGCCCGGCAGAAGCTGCAGCCAATGGCAATACTGGAATGCGGCCGACGGCGCGCTGAAAACTGTGCGTAGTTGACATCACGGGATATTTTTCAACGTTCAAGGTCCCAGAACCTTGGCAATGAGTACCCATCGGAATCTATGTCCGCATTTGTGCCCTCATTAGGGGCGTATGTCGGCAATTTGCCACTCTCCGCTGACCACATATGGAATTTCATTACTTTCAGGACGTAGATGAATCAAAGTCCCCTTCAACGGCGCGTGGAATTCCTCTCGCGATTTTTGATTCCCCATCAAATCTTTAGAAGATCGGAGGTGGCCTTCGGAAGTCGGCGGCCATTTGTCTCGATATTCCGTGCAGTTCGGCCCGGATCATTTGCAGCAGCACTAGAGCAGCTGGTTGGGACCATGGTCGATGAATGCCGTGACATATTGATGACGCGCGGACATAACACCGGAGCAGTCTACCACAACAAAGCAAAGCTTCACGCCCACTCAGACACATCAAACACTTGTTTTTTAATACGCTACGAAGTCCATTGCAGTGCTTGATTTTGTAAATTTCCAGTTATGTAGACTGGGTAAAACTTGTTTCAGGACCTGCGGCGCATCTTGACTGCTGGCAAGGATAATAATATTACCCAGCTTAGTACTAGAAGCAATCTCTGCCATGCAGTTGTCTAATGCTTGTGATAAAAGAAACCACTTAGCAAAGAAGTGCTACGAGTTCAAAAGAACGAAGGGTTATTTGTCGGGCTAATTTAGTCGTGACGACAAAGGAAGACGAGAGGCACAGTCGTGAGCTGCCTTCCCTCGGGTGGTCGTTTCACAAACAGCGCTGCAGAACGCTACTTCCTTGTTAGTTACAAGCGACTTTTACGTCCCTTACGGCTGCCGAGTGCTTTCACGCGTCATTGTGTGATTATCACACCGTCTCCTTAAACTCCCAAGCGTAACAGATGGGCCGTTTGTCTCTCACTTTCTATAGCGCGCTGCATACCTCTGGTTCGTGGCAGACTGGCGCAGTACATCTCACAGAAGCCGTGCTCGGTCGCCTTGTTGGCATAGTGCAGGTCCTCGAAGTACACGACCAGGGGGCGTCGGGACGGTTCCCATTCGGACCGCACGGGGAGCGGCGGCGGACCGCGAGCAACCTCGCCGGGCCGCGCTGCAGCGGACGCCGCCGCCTGCCCGTAGGCGGGCCGCCCAGGCGCCGGGGACGGAGGAAACTGTGACGCGGGCCTGTACCGCCGCTCTGAGAGCGGAGCTCTCTCGGGAGACGCGGCATTTCGAGGTGGCGCGAGCCCCTCACGCGGTCGTGACGGGACTGTAACGTTCGTCCTCTGAGGACGCCCCGGGACAGTGAGCTGGGGACGCGCCGCCGCTGCCGACGCAGACAAGGCCTGAGCGGCGGGCCCTGCCTCTGGCGAGGGCCGGTACACACTGAGCAGCTCCTGATGCGCTCCAGGAGCCTTCCGAGCCGGAAGACTCGTCGCCGCCGGCAAGTGCGCACTGGGCGGCGGGAGGTAGGCCCCGTGCGGCGGGAGGTACGTTCCGGACGGCGGGAGGTACACACTGCCCGGCACTGAGTTCAAGTCCACCACAGCGGGCGGAGAGTCGAGCCTCCGCTGCGTCAACGGCAACGCTCCGCCGGCGCCGGTGCCGACGACCGCCACCGTCCAGCAGCTGAGAACGAGGACGCACTGGGCCAGCATGGCCCGCCGCCTCAAACGACGCGCCGCCGCGTCGGACCGCTGCCGCCCTCCGCTGGGGCGGCTCCACCGTCACTGCGGCGGCTGCGGCGCCGGTGAGCGAGGAGGCGCGGCGGACCGTCCGTGTCCCGGGACACCACTGGCCCGAGGAGCCCTGGTCCCGAGCGAGCCGGTGACCGTGCGACCTGACCCACCGCCGAACAGACTGGCTCTCTGCCGGCGGCCGGCCCTTTTATGGCCTCACGCCGCCGCCCGCCGGTCGGCCTCGGCATGTGACGTCACTGGTGTCGGCGCCGGTGGGCCCGGCGGCCAGAATGCGCCCCGGGCGGCTGCCATTGGGGTGACCCTGAGTGAGAACGGCTTCCGATCCCACGCTTCGTTTGCGCGTGACAAATTGCGATGGTTTTTCGGTCGGTGCCGCGCAGTTGGATTGGACAGTTGGAATTCGACGTCACTAGATCAGTGGGGCTCGCCAATGACCACAGTCATGGAGAGACATATCTTAGACCAGTGGAGGCTTCTGGGGCTGATTTCTCCGGAGTCATCTTGCTGCGACGGATATGAGTACCTTAGCCCTTAAGTTTTCACTATGTACGGAATAACGAGTGCTTACCAGATTTTGAAAGCAACACTTTTTACATACCACTGCATTCGTATTTTTTAGAACACAATTTCTAACCAATGAAAACCTATTACGTGATCATGAAACTTTGGGCAGCACGATGACATAATGGACCATTCAGCTCAAAGAAACTATGTTCAGTGCGACTCTCTGCGCATTTCGAAGATTTGCTATGAGGTCTGTGCCGCAGTCCGTATATATTCGTTCAGAGAAGTTTTCAAACTCTGTTCTGAGGGGAAGTCGCAAGCGCTTCTTTTCGAAACGTCAAAGAAATGTGTTCCCTCACATCTCCTTTGTAATGCGTCGTTAAATGCACGCGGGACATGTTTAACTATATTCAGCTGTCCATTAACAATCGGCAAATTAATACTGCATCGGTTCCTTTTGTTGTTTCGCGTAGCTTACGCGCACCTACCAACACTCGTATCTGATATATTTTAACGATGCTAAGAAGCAAACAATCGCAGTCAAGTTTGAGCTAAATGAATCAAATCCCATCTTATTCATGCAATCCCTGGGGCTCGACTGCACCATGAGACGTCACCACTGTGTGAGAGGCCATGTGGGTTCACGTCCAGAAAACGCTCTCATCTGAATCGTTGATGGTCAATTGGGAAATAGGCTTGACCGTCAGGCTGGTTAGCGGAGGTGCAATGTAAGGCGCAATTACGTACCATGACGCAACATGGTACGTACTGTTACAGCAAAACCTGCCAGTCGAACTGAAATCGTTCTGCGTGGTTTGTGGGGTCGGCTATTTTGCAGCGATCCATGCTAAAGAGTCTGATCCCACAGCCATTCGTGGTAAATGAACAGTCGAATTTGTTAATATGATATCCAATATTATTTGAAAAATATATGTTGCCTGTATTTCATACAAAGAAGGTATGCTGCCACCAGATCGGCGGAATTTCGCATCATCCAGTGTAGCAATACTAACTTGTTTTCATAGGTCCTGGAATTTATATGTGGAAACAAACGGGTAAATGACGCCCTCGTGGATTTTTCATGGCTAGAAAAACAGCCTATATCTGAAACGCTAATCCGATAAAGCGCACCAGCCTGACGAACCAACCCTCGCGAAATTGATATCCACGTGCGTTGTGGCGCACCACACCCCTGCCCAGACATCCCGAAGCGGACCTTCCGCAAATTTGTAACGTGTCTGACGGACGCGTGATATGTTTTGGAGATAGCGACTGCCTAGCACCCTCGTTCGTCCAAGGCTGGTTGGATTTCCTGCCGCATGTTTCAGTGGCTTGGAAGCTGTCTAGATAACGCCAGCGATGATGTCATGCTATATGCTTATGCATGACATAAGATAATCCAGTGTAGAATCTACCAAAGCCGAGAGCAAACGTGTAAAAACGTGTGCTTGCACATTCCAAATGTCGCTAATTGACGGTACATGCGAGCCTGAGCTGCAGAAAAAGTTTATATCCGCATCGTCGGTACCAGACAGACAAGGGATGCGAAAATGAGTCAATGCCAGTTGCTTGACCTTTATCACTGGCTAATTGCCTGATCAACCAGTTAGCAAAACAAAAAAGGTTGCATACCTTGAGCTCATCCTCCATATGCCTGTAACGCGTGACAACGGACTGCGAATGCGAGAGAATGATGCAGCAAATTTATGGAGACAATTCTGGCACACTATTTTCAATCATACCACATGAACATCACAGGTGAAGCACGCCATAGCCGGTATATGCAACAACGTAGGGCATTGGTGACACCGATGCGGCGGAGTTAAACTTCATGGTGAAAGTAATTGTGGCCCCATGTATGATAAACAACGCTTATGTGATTTTTTCTTCCACGTTCGTTCATGGCCGACCCGTCAGGTTGTTTCAAAAGAGGCCAAATAACTCCTCCGCACAAATGCACAAAAACCTGGTTCAGACCCAGCATGCCACCATTTGCCTTTAAGCGGTAAAGTGAGACCATCTGATTTCATTTCATAACTGTTCATGACTACATAACTTTACTATATATAGCTGCTTCGTGACCTTGAATGACTGCAAGCTCGCAATCTGCAAGTGTTCCCATGGTATTGGTGCGCGATAAGATATCTGCTAACCTTACCTGGCTCATTTCTAAGTGTATAACATTTGCACCGATGTCATTACGAGCTCGAGTCAGATGCAACATGACGCCGGAAAGACCCTGGACACCAACATATCAATAGCATGTGCCTTTATAAAAGAAATTGGGACCACTGAAGACCATTTTTAATCGCATAATTTCTTAGCAAGTGCCGGAATGCTTCTAATAGTATGAAGTTTTTTGGTTAACCAGTAGCGCACACCTTGTGCTGAAATATTTCTGCGATGCCTTGACTTCGACATGGACTAGATGCATGGATGGTACAACAATGTGGCACAGTATTGGTGTCCAAACGATATTTCACAGCAGGCAGGGCTCTGCTGCACAACAAATGGCAGTGTTCTTGCTGTTCTGCATTTGCTGGGGATGAACGGTTGCCTCTAGTTTGCAGTTATGTCTTCTTTTTAGAACACCTGAACTATAGAAGACATTGATGAAACCTATTTGTACACAAGCGACCCATGATTCACGTCACGTATCATCGGCAGCACGCGAGGGTTATCACCTGACTGGACTCAGAATTGGCACCGGGCTCATGAGCTCCGAGGACGGGAACTAAAAAAATCAATTAATTTCACTTTGAGTCGGAGTCTGACTCGGACCCACCAGTTAAGCAGCGGACTCAAATGTGGCCAGGAGCTAAAGCTAAAACGGGTCAAGACTTGAACCTCTACAAGTGAAGAACAGGAGCTATTTTTTCTCTTTCCCGGCATTACCTCGGACCACACCCTACGTCATAACGGCATGGTATAAGCTACCACAGCATTGCTACTGCGCGGTGATGGCATTATGTTTCCATATGGCCCACAACTCCACACCACATCCCAAACGTTGTAACATAGCGTTCTCTTAACTCTCAACTTCTCTCAACTTCTCTTCAGAATACAGTGATCAACGTTCCGATGCTGACTGGGCGAGACATTAAGTCATACGTTTAATTTGGGCCGAGTTGGCTCAGGTTAGGTCTTGTTCCACGGATCACTACGACTGGCATTCCAAACGAGCTTTACACCTGCCGCTCTATACTCATGATGGTGTCGATCCTATACGCTGCGCGAGGAAGCGTCGAGCTCAGACTCCGACCCAGCGACCACGGACTCTGTCGTAGACTTAAAGTGCTGGGAATCCGGCTTCGACGCAGACTGGCACATATGCAGTGGACTTGAGCGCCGCCGTGATGAAACCCACACCCGGACTCTGGACTTTGGATGCTCTCGTTTCACTTTAAGGATTTGGGACTCGACTCTGTGGGACCAAACTAATTCTGACAGTCGACGTGCCTTAGCAGTCGGCGTGCCCTGGCAGTCGACGTGCCCTAGCAGTCGACGTGCGCTAGCAACCGACTTACCCTATGTCTCAATCAGCAAGAACAAACAACTGAGGACTCTGACTTGAGTCCAAGACACCACAAACCCGACTCGTAACCTGAATTCCGCTTCTGGGACCAGGCCCAAGACTGATCGGCAACTATGCAAATACAACCATCCCCGTGCATGCCACGTGTGCAAAGTTCTCGAGAAGGCCGAGTTCTCCGTCCGGGCGGCCCCCCACTTTCCTGGCCAGCCGCGCCATCTCCTCTGTCGCCGGCGGACGCGCCAACATGCATAGCGGCATTTCTGGCGCGACCCGCCGGTTTTTGCGCGCGGCATTTCCTCGTGTCTGGGGCGCCGCCGGCCGGGCTCCGGGGCCGGCCGGCCGCCCCACAAACTGATGCTGCACGCCCCGAGGAGCCTACTGATTAGCCGGCGGGGTGCGCGTGTGCGCGTGACTGCCCCATGGTCCGGTCGGGACCACCCGGCCCGTCCAGGTGAGTGGCGGAGGCAGATGGCGCACGCGTGGTGGAATGGGTCGCCCGGATTCGGAAGTGAGTTGGGACATGTGCTCCCGGCGTGAGTAATCGATGCGGATTTTTGGGTGGGCACCGGAAGTGGCCTTGCGTATGCGATAGTGATGATTGAGAATTCGTGGTAACTTACAGGCAGCTGGCAGGAGAACCTGTAGGTGATTCAGAATTGAAAGCCTAATTAAAATGAGGAGAACCACTGCGGGATGAATATTGCAATGAATCATTTAACAGGAAAGCCGGTATCATTTCACCCACTGAACTGTTCTCCGAAACCGTGCTACTTAGGAAAGGATTCATCACAAATTACTGGGTTCCTGATTAACTTGGATCTCCGATAACCAATAATACCAGCAAATGTGTCTACTTTAAAAAATATCGAAAACGGCGGATGGTTGATGGTCTGGATAGGGGCGTTGGACATGGATCGAACGGGGCTCATGGTCTGATACGGTACCGGTCCTTGCGCTGGACCAGTGGCCCAGTGATAATGGCGGACAGGCTGGCTGTTAGTCTTACCTTGGTTGATTGATCCTTCGGCCACGTACGCTGCGGGGATGAAGGCACGCCATTAGCGATTGGGACACACCCGCTAATACTGATTGGCAAAAGCAACAGCTGGTGGTATGTATGGGAAAATCCACTTGTTCCGGTCCACGTGAATAACGTAAGGACGTCCCATGCATGAAGCTTATGAAAGAGAACAAAATAATTACGGAAAATCAAAGCATATTTTCTGCGGTGAAGCATGGTCACAATTGTCAGACAGCTGGATCGGATGGAACTTACGATGCAGCTAGCCAACTGGGACATAAATGTAATGACCAAATACGCGGAGTTTCTGATCAGTCACATGTCAACCAGTCACAGCAGTCTGAACCACAACAAAAGTCCATGCCAACGGCACCACTGCAGACAGCAGCGCTGCTCCCCTCTCCCACTCACCCTGGACACAGATGGCCCCGTCCTCCTCCTCATAGCAGTCCTCATCTGGAGCGCAGATCTTGGTCGCGCAGGTCTCGCGTTCTGCAAACATAAGCAGTTCAACGCTGTGAAAGCTGAGATGACATGCCATAGAGGCACGTGCCCAAAACGGGAGCGCCCTGTGTATGGAGCTGCTCTGCAGGATCTCAGCCGCTGTTATTCGCGTCACGCCCAGGCTCACAGGAAACGGAGGCATCACGTGAGACGGTTCAAACTCGGCTCCGATGCTCATGGCCTTAGCTGCCTCGCTATTGAGTTTGGCTTTACAGAGTGCACAGCGGTGGTGGAATGTTAAGAAGGGCTCTGTGATTAAGCGCACTTGTGCCTTGCGCAGTACTTTATGGTAAGAATCAGCCACATGCTGCTGGTTTTTGTTTTAGTTCAAGAAATAGCTGGCTGGAGCAAGACTGGCAAGACTGTCAAGCCGACCTTTTTTGTTGCCTCTTTACAAATATTTAATGTGCCAATCTTTTTACTCAGGCGAAGTCAATGGAATACTTAAGAACGAAGCATGTCGCTCAATGATCGTAAGCTTCATAAATCTCTCCATGACATATTCAGTTACCTTTAACTTTGCATGGCAAGACATTTTTGCAAACGATGAACTAAGAATCTGATGGCACCTAGAATATTCCATAATTTGAACACATATATTAATGTTTCATCTTTGACAGCCGTATAATGTTCGGACATTCCTCGCATTTGACATGCGTGACGCTGGGAGGAGCCGTTCACATCTGTGGAACGGGGGTCAGGCACCTGGCGTGCGCATGCCAAACATTTCAGACACGGGTTAGCAAGGAGCAACTCTCCTGCTAAAGAGTCATTTCTTCAAACCACCCAAGAGGCAATCAGATCTCTTAAAAACAGATTATTCGCGTGACCCTGACAGGCCCGACTTGCAGCTGGCTTTGACCTTCCTCGCCTGCACCAACCAGAACGTAAATTCCTCGCTCGTACGTAGGGATCTACGCACGAATTCACATGGCGATGAAGTGTACAGGTTGTAACGGAGGTTTGCGAGCTAGTCGAATATTCTGCTCGGGCTCCGAGCAAATGCCGCTTGGCGTCTCGACAAGCCTGCCATCTCTTGACAAACAGCACAAGCGCTAGTTTGAAGATATTCCCTCAATGCGAGCGGTTCCACGCAGCTTGTCCAACAATTCTTCCTTCCCATGTCATGAGGTGACTGATGGGAAGACAATGATGAGAAGGTTGGCCTGCTCAAGTGGCTGCAGTGAACAGCTTTCAGGGGATAACAATTAAATATTGTGTACATTTTTGAGAGCGTGTAGCATTGTTGGGGAGGTGTGACCGCCATACCTGCCAAACAGCATTATCTGCCCACACATGTAATGCACACCTTTTATCATTAAAATAATACGCAGCGAGGTGAGCATCGGCCAGAAGGGAAAAATGCGTGTGAGATTCATGCACAGTCCCCAGGCCGCCAGAATCTACGCCAAGACGAGGCGTCAAAGTCCATACATGCTGACGTGATGTTCAAGCACGTGGCGCTTTGTGATTACCAGCCTTCTTAATATTAATCCCCGGATAGCGAAATGCTCAATGAAACTGCCCTAAAACACCCGCTACACAAAGTTTTACGTGTGCATGTTTTGGCGTTTAAAACACTCTCCAACACAAGATGGCTATTACGAGCGTCGAGCACCAATGAGTAGCACCAACATGTGTGCAGTCAAAGGTATAAGTGAAATAATTTTGGAGGCGACTCTCTCAGGCTACGGAACTGCCTCATTACCCTATGTTGGCGGCTGTGTTTAAGTCGCAAGCACAGCCTTTCGGCCAGGCATGTCCTGCTGCCTCGGAATGCGGACAGGTGCAGCACAGTGCCATTTCCGCGGCTCTCGGTGTATTTCCTGACGGGGTTACAATGGAGGGTCGGCTGCACCTGGCGATTCGCTGGTCCGGACCAGCCTTTGCTCACGCTCCTAGCAACAGAGCGGTATTTCCCTTCCTGGATTCGGAGCGCCATTTTGGACGCAGTCAGCTCGCGTTTGGCCCGCGCCTTTTTGATCCAACTTCTCAGTGTCATCACGTGCATCTGATTGCAGATTAAACACACTTTGCCTAAACCTGTTGCAACTAATATATCTATACGCACCTTTTAGTAAATGGCACTTCATCAGGCGTCAAGAGTGCTATTGCTAGTGCGTTAATCAAAAGCGACACCCGGCGAGTTGCACAGATGGCCACTCCGCGGTGATACCCCGCTGAGCCTGCCATGGGGAACGTCACTGAAGTGAGTGGCGATGTCGTTCGGAAACCAGACATCTGGTCAAACAGCAACAATGTAGATCGATTTAGTTTCGGCAGATTAGTGGGAAACACTGGATTTTTTCGGACAAGCAGACTTGATGCATTTAAGACTGCGGTGTGTAGCACTGCAGTCCTATGTCGTTAAAATGATATGACAATCTCAGCATCGCAGGGTAACTTTAGAATAACATCCAAGCAATCTTATGACTGGCTTATGTGATTTAGGCAAATAACTGACTAACAATATCTAGGAAAATCGAGTAGCATGGTGTGTCACATCCACGTAGTCAGAAGCTCCGAGTGGAACTGAGCACCCAGCGAGACTGCGTCTGTGTTCAGCAGTGCTGCAGGTCAGACTCTGACTGTGCTGGCGGAGCCGGGCGGCTCATAGCTGAGCACTCAGCGAGACTGCGTCTGTGTTCAGCAGTGCTGCAGGCCAGACTCTGACTGTGCTGGCGGAGCCGGGCGGCTCATAGGCTTACCATCTTCGCGGAACCCTAGCTTGCACTGAGCTGGGCTCCGCAGGACTAGCTATGATGGCTACGATGTGATGATGGCTATGATGCATAGCTATATATGATGCTATATAGCTATGATGGCCTCAATCCACGCGGTTTTGAGTTGGAGGAACTGGTCTCCACTCACTTTGATCAAACTTGGGAGACGACGCTGTCCCTGACACGCGAGCCTCCTACACTCATGTTTTTGTGTCATGAATCGTGCTTACGATCGTCGCTTTGTGATTGCCGAGATACTCGTTGACGAATTATTAAAAACAGCCCAATCGATGTGAAATGACCTGAACAAGTTTAGCACCATGCAATACGACAGGCTAACTGCAATTAAATAAACTTAAAGTCGAAGCTGGCCTGATCACTTCGGCGCGCCGGGTTCGAGTCAGACGCGGCAGCGCGCGCTGAGCTCGTACATGCGTGCGGTGCTCCTCATGACAGTCATTCCCGCCCGCCCGGCTACACTTGCAGCGAGCGGCGGGGAGCGTACCTTTGACGCAGCGGGCGCCGGTGAAGCTCTCGTGACACACGTAGCCGCTGGGGCAGCGCTTATGGTCGCAGGTGTACAGGTCTGAAATGGAGAGGAGCCGTCAGCGGTGTGGGGTGAGAGAGCGCCGCGTACTGCCTCGGTTCAGTATGCAGGCCTGCGCGATGGGTATCTAAAAGATGTGACATAGCCAGGGTGAATTCTGTACGGTTACAGCGTCATGCATTGGGAGATAGACGCCTGGTATTTTCTCGCGCTGGTACTTCTCTTCTGAATACTTTTCCTCTCCATGTATGTATTTTTAAGACGCTTGTTCATTTTACTTGCATTTTTATCATTTCTTATTTTTCGATGGATGCGTGTTTTGCAGAACATTTTTCGTTTCATCAGCACGCCAACATACTGACAACCACATCGTAAATATTGAACTAGATCGAAAGCCAACATCTCATCCGGATGAGGTGAGAACAGCAAGCAGCCGAACTCACCGAAATCGGGGCGAACTCACCGAATAGCGGTTTCGGTGGCTCAGTTGACCTAGCGTACATCAGGGTTTGCGTACTAGAAAGCGTGCTCATGTGATTTGTCTGTCCACAGAACACGTCTTCAGACTGCTAAGTGTTGCGGACAAAATATCAGCCACCCATCAGAATGCAAGCGGCTTTACAGGAAGATTCAGAGTTATTTGCATGAAAGCATAGCCGCCATAGTGCCTCCATTCAAACACAGAAAACAATGGGGTCGGGACGAAGTTCTTTAACTTTAAAGATGCTCCCCTAAGAGCTCAAGGAAAAGATGAATAACTGCACCGTGGCAGTTCTCTTACTCGGGATTTTGCAATAAATAAGATGGAGGGGCACAACCAAAACGAACATTGAAACGTGATTTTAATGCTCCAAAGGAGCGCAAAACTAACTGCATGTTGTAAAACAGCATATGCTATTTTCAATTTTTCTACTTTTACGTGTCTTCTACAAAGCTATCTGGCTTTGTTCACGTAGAATCTTAACCTAGCATTGCACGTTAAACCGCGGCAACAATAGCCAGTACGGCGACCATTCTAGAATGCAAATAATCTGATGCGCGGAACGCAATATAAGGATGGAGACCGTGATACACTGTGAGCATTTCCAGTTCACATCACATTCACATAATATAGATCGGCGGTGTAGTTTCCTATTGAAAGGGGGAGGTTTCAGTCCCCTATTTGGGCTCCACCTTGCTTCCGCAACTTTGAGAAAAAATTGGGTTGAACCGTGGAAAATTCGTCTGTTGACGAATTTCCGGGCAGGTTTCGAAACTGCTCACGGTTCCCCTTCCCCACCATCTGACTGCGAAACTACGTCCGTGGTGTAGATGAAGCGTAAGCCTTATCGTTGATTGGCACTATCGCACTATTCGTTTCGCATCTTCTCAATAGATGGCGGTAGCGATTCAACCTGCATTGATCTACTGCTCCGCATCATATTAGACCAAGGTCGATTTTTGTGCACCAGGGCCAAATAAATTCAAACTTTCCGGTTCCTTGATTTTGCTGCCCGTCATTCTTTTGTCGCGATCTCAATGTACCTGAAACGTGAACGTGGTTTTGCGAAGGGAAGGACCATCTGAACGCGCAGCCCGACGCAGCCGGGCTCGAATACGCCGCATCCAGGCTAAGAAGCAATCGCGCAGCAAGATGAGCTGCTGTAGTTTTCAATTGTCAGAGCTTGACAACATTGAATGGTAACTGATTGTTGTTAATTTTTAGTAACTCTTGAATATTTGACAACTAATGTTTTAGCACGGTGACCAGCGTTTTGTCGTCGGTGGTTGTTGAGTGTTGTAGCCAAAATATACGAGGCACCATCCTAGATACTGAAATCAAGACAAGCTCCAGATAGCCATGTCAGATCACCTTCCCTGCGACGCATAAGCCAAATTTCAGTGAGGTACTCTCATACGTGATCCGCTAGGTAGCCTGACATTCATTTCGTTCTGCGGTGCAAGCTTTCGTGCTGACCAAAAACATCATGCAATGTCAGAGCGCCCGGTGCGGTATGCCCAACATCCATGCCAAACAAAGCAGCTTGTCAAACACCAAAGCGTTGCAGCGCCACAAATATCACCAAATAGCTGCCGCATTAACATAGCAGCCTTGGCAAGTCGGCCAAGTGCCACGCTAATCCGGCTCAAACGCCAAGACATGCCTTTGTGGACATGTCATCTGAGGAATCCAGCCCGCGGACAGAAAGTCCGCACAAGCCGGCGGTGCCAGGCGGGGGTTGGCGCGAACCAGCCGGCCGCCCCCAGGCACCGGCAGAGCGGCTTGGGTTCCAGTGCAAACCTTGGTGACATATAGCCAACTCTGTCCCTGTCGGCGAGGCTCTTCTCGACGAACTCTGGACGTTGATTGATCATCATGAATCGTATGGGACCGATCCTACATGTGCCTTAAACGCATCAGCTTGTTTTCTCTCTGCTGGGTTCTAGAGATGTGTCTTGGGATCAATGTGGGCTAGTTATGTGTATGTCCAGCGTCAGGCATCAAAGCGAAGTGGAACGTGTGACAAGGTATTATATCCTACACGAATAATCCAATTTTTTCGCGTGGATATTCACACGTCACAAAACATCAGGAGGCACACATTTTGTTTGCAATTCAGTGAAAAGGCACGTTTCAGAACCTATATCTATATTTTCGTCAGATTCAAAAAGGCCTGGATTTTCTGCTTGGTAGAGCTAAGGCTTATCTAGCTTATCATGTTGTGTATTTCATCTCCTCGGCGGGAGAAGCATCAAAACCGAAGAAAACGCAAATGTTCGCCTTTTTTATTTCCCAATCGTTGTGAGATTTTTTCTCCAAGCCATAATCGGTGACATCTTTAGGATAATCATCATGGTAACTGAAAATGGGTGTATCGAAATTAGAATGCATAACGAATTGCTTCGGACGTCATGTGACCAGCGCGCCGGCAGCGCCACCAGACGGCCACTCACGGAAGCTGTGACTCCGACTCACATCCGCCGTCGAGACACATGGCGCTGGGGGGCGGGAGCAGCATTGGCGCCGGCAGTGGCTCGGAAGGCTCGCGGTGATGAATAATGACGTCATCACATACGCGACCGTCTTTCAGCGTCGTGTATGCAATAAAGGAAGCGGCAGTGTCGCGTGCGATGTCCGAGGGAGAACGAACGTGGTATTCGCTTGCCGATGTACGGCGCAGCTGACACAATGGGCCAGCTCCACATGAAAGGAACTCAAAGCTGTGAATTGCAACGGCCGCAATGGCACGGCTTTTCACCTTCACGGGTGGTAGGACCTCTGTGAGGACGACCACTGATGAACAATGACAGGGAAGCATGGCAGCCCCCCCCCCCCCGTGCCATGACCGAGTGGCCATTTCACGGCCGAGCCCTGCCTCCCTCGCTCGGCCCATTATTTATTTAAAGTAGCCAGACGTCTTGCTGTTTGACCTAGAGCGACAAGGGTGGCCACTGTAACTCTCGAAGACGGATGTGGCGTGTTATGATGTGGTGATAGTGCTGGAAAGGATTTGGGCAACAATGCCGGATGGAACTTAGCATGCCCTGGTGGTCATGAACGGGAAAGACTTTTACTTATCCGACTCGTTTCGGCTTAAAAGATTGTGCCTACAGAAAAAAATCGTAAACCAAAAATGCAGAAATTTGCGCAATGCGCTCCTTAATCATATGGTATGCTTTTCAAGCCCGGAACTTTCTCTTTGCGCCGTCATAATACCGCAAGGTTCTGGCGGTAGCATGGGTGCCATGTTTCTGAAGCCGACAACCGGCGGGCGACCAACGCATGAGGGCGGACCCACCTTCGACGCAAACCGCTCCGTTGGGGGTGTCCTGGCAGACGTAGCCTGCGGTGCGGCACAGGGAGGCGCCCACCGAGGCGCAGTCCGTCCTCACTGCAAGGGGGCAGGTCAAGGTCAGACGCGCCCTGAAGTCACACGCGGCTACCGGCGCGTCCTGGTGGGCGGGTGTGGCTGCCAGCGCCAGGAGGTCGACTCAGGCACGGAGGCCAGCAGCCGTGCTATTGGCGGCACGCGCAGCAGGGTAAGGACTGTGAGCGCGCCTACCAATTACGGCGACTAGCGGCTGTCACCGCAGGCTCCCCGCGGTCGCGCCAACGCGTCAATCATGGGCGCTGGCCACACAATGGAACGGCATTGTTGGGTAAGATTACAGGCGGGGCGGTACGGCGCTTACCGTGGTGAGCTACTCCTACCATGCGCGATTTTTCATGGGAACTTTCTAAAGTATTCCGGGAGCTTCTTTTTCGCTGTAAAACGTCGAGATAAGCTCCGGTTTGTTCACTGTCGATAACCGCAACAACAAGCATGGGACATATTTCACCTTGTCTGACGTAGATCCGATTATCCTTTACATATCAATGAGGTACTGGCACACCGATCCCCACAGCATCCCCAAGAGAATCACCACGAATGAAGGTCAAATGCGTCTCGATAATCTGTGCTGAGTGGTCATCTAAATCTGACATGACAGACCTGTGTGCAGATGTCGATGATGCACGCAGCTGCGAAATACATATATACTGTGCACATTTTTATGTGACTGACGTTCAACGAGGACACAAATGCACAGCTTAATGTTCTAACCGCCTCAGACTAGATGTCTCCGGTAATGAGAGGAACGCTAATGCACACGACATCGAACATGACCCTAATGTCCGAGAGCATTGCGGTTGCTTCGCATACTTAGGTGAACAGTACATAAGCCTGCGCTCTGGTGCGATGACACATAACCGCGGTCGTGCTTGGCACACACAGGTGGGGTCCGTGAGCTGGGATCCACGAGCCATGAACTAGAGCCAGAGGGCCATGAGCTAGGATCCACGAGCCGTGAACCGGAACCAGATGACCATGCGCTGGGATCCGCGAGCCAGGATCCAAGACCCGGGAGCTACGATGGACAACTCGAAACTCTGGATCCTAGATCCTGGAGAACGCGGATCCTGAATCCTGGCGATTCATGCGACGGGGGCGGACTTGGAGCGGTACGCACGTGGCTTGACGCAGCGCCGCACGCAGCCGGCCGTGCAGCAGATGTCGTCCCCTTCGCAGTCTTCGTCCACTTCGCAGAGGACGCGGGCCTTCTTGCACGGCCGCAGGGCGGTGGCGATCAAAGGACAGTGCCCCACCTTGGTGTGAGCTGCACCGGAGGTCAGTGTCAGCCAGGGTCAAGGCACGCGATGGTGGCGAGGGGGGGGGGGGGGGGCGGCGAGATGAAAACAGACCCCGCAAGGCAACCTCTGGATCGTCAGCTTTATCCTTTCGTATGAGCTGTAAGTCACGAAGGCACTTTGCAGAAGCTGCAGTAGTTTAGCCGCAATCCCTATGCAAGCGTATAGGGATTACGCTATCTATGTTAATCGTACATGTCGTGTCTGATCGCCATCTCGGTGGCATACTCCATAGTCTTAAAATTTCTCGGGAGGTCGCCGTTTCACTAGTCAACCGAAAACACCAAATGAAGGGAAAGACAATACAAGCCTTGCCATCTACGTACACTGTTAAAAAAGTTGTAGGAACGCTGAATTTCTAACAGCAGGACAACTTCGCAACTCTTTGAAACATAGTCACAAGCAAAAAGAGGCAGGGTAATAAGTCAAAAAAGGGAGAGAATGGCATCAAAAGCAGGCCATCTCGTCTGGTGACCAAGTGTTGGCTCCAAGACCGAGGCACCTCCTCATATGGCATCCCCAGCTGACATATTAACTGTCGCGCCTGGTTCAGTATGCCAAGCTCCGCAGGCATCGGCGCGAACACGAGCGCGCGCGACGCGGAGCATATTCACCATGTGTGGGTCAGGGTCGCCGCCGAGTACAGTTAGACGGAGGACGGAGGGGTGGCGGAGAAGGCCGCCCGGGAGGTCCCCCGACAACGGGCCAGCTGGCCAGAGGTCAGCGGCGGGCGGACGTAAGTGACGGGTGGGCAGCGAGGGAGTGGCGGGATGATGGCAAGGAACGGCCGCTGGCAAACTGCGGGGAGTGTCGCTGCAGTCAAGACTGGAGTGAGACGGAGCAGCGTGGTGGGGACAGTGGCGGCCTGCAGAGCCCACTAACGAGACAATCAGAAACGGCCTGCAGAGCCCACTAACAAGACAATGCATGTCAGCAGATGGGACGACCAGAACAGGCCTTGCACGGGAGAGACGTCATGGAAGGAGGCGCGCCGAGCTGGGCTGGGCAGCCAAATGGGACATTAGTCAGAATGATGGGGAAATTGGGCCCGAATGATCGGAAATGTACAAACAAGCAATCACAAGCTGCCGCCTGGAAAGCTGTCCCGTTGCTGAAAGCTGAACTCAAAATGGGTTCCTGGCTCATCTCTCTTCGATCCATGATTGGATAACGAAATCTTTTTGCGACGGATTTGTACTTTTGCACATAGCGGGTCACCAAATAACTAAAAGATCTGTGCAAACTCAGGCTTTTTGGAATTTCACCTGGGGTTTCAACACTTACAAAATGTTTTGAAAATGCTTTCTTTCAAATCACACATGGTTTGCCAATGATTATTATCTTATTGAAGTAACTAACGCACAGACAATACAAATGGAAAATTATGTCGCATACTTGCAGGATGACAATTAGGAAAGCTAACATGGAACACTCATTTTCTTTAAGTGAAACGTATATGCTCATTATTTTGGTGATGTAGCTACTCGTGTTCGGCGACTCAAAAGTTTTTAAGCTGAAGAGAGTGTCTTAAGAGTGCACTGAAGAGCGTCAGCGTGGAAATGTCAGGTAAATTCAGGAAGTTTTAAAACAGAGCACGAAATGAGTATGTGTACCCTGCCCTCCTCTACGCCACGCCCCATCCTACATCCCCAGATCTTTTTAAGATCTATCGTCATCGATGCTTGCTTCTTGTGCAGTGTGCTACGAAAATTGTGGCCACGTGATCTGCGGAAACAAACTCGCTGTTGGAAAGGCCGTCCAGTCGCGAATTAGGAGGCGCAAGTAATTTGTGTCACGCAGGCCAGCTTAGCCATCACTGCGGTCACATAATTCCTTTTGATCTGCAAGCAGAGATAGGTCCACCCTCTAACTTGACCAAAACCACAGAATTATAGCCGTCACCGAATATTTCCACTGAATTCGGAAAAGCGCCACTTTGCTTTACGTCATTACCGTGCTGGGGGAGGCGCAGGCGGACTTAATGCGGATTTGGTTTTAAAAGCGGAGATTGCCTTGACCTTTTGCTGGTCTTGTGAAAAACCATATGTTAAATCACTGGGAGAGGAACGTTGAGCCTCATGTCACTGTAAGATTTCGTGTCGATAAAAATGTAACAAGTTTAGGCATCTAGTCCCACGAAGCAAAATACATCAAATACAGCGTCAAGTTCAAATGCGAAAATGCTAAAACATCAAACTGCCTTGCATTGTGACTGGAACTGGTGGCCAGAAGTTCATGTGCCGAAAGAGTAAATGAGAAACGCAGAAACTCCAGCTGCAAGGCGATGGCACTTACAAACGCATACGGCCACGTCGTGCTTCTGTAGACAGCTGGCGTCCTCGTCACACACAGTCTCCGCGCACGTCGTCTTCGGCCCTGGCGAAAACACGTCGCGGTTATTGGCGAGAAGAGGATCGGCTGTCCGTGATGAACGAAACACACACAGGTTCCCCCATCCCGCCACTTCTAAATATGTGTTATGAGAGGAAGACGCGTCCTTTGTTTAGTTTGTTGTGGGCGTTCCCAGGCCTGGTTGTCAAACACATCCAATGCGTCCAACACGTCCAACTGGTTGGTGATTGAACCCCGCAATATCCCGCGCCGACGGCCGCGGAGGCAGCGAAATGCTACAGCATTTAAGCAGTGGCCAGGTTTGAACTTGCCCACGACTTGACAGATGATTGTAGCTGCACGTTTCAGCAATTGCGCTGCGCCGTACTCACAGGAAATCTTAAAAATGTGTCTTAGACAAATACCCGTTACGGAGCGAAACACACGGAACTCTTTCGATCGGTTCTGGCGATTAAAAGAGTAGATGCTTATGCGGTAGATGCCCATCAGATAAGTTTCCGTTTGGTCATGACATAACAAAACCATCTGTTCGGAAAGGTCCCACGGGCGGCCTTGGCCTCAGTCTCAGCCTTGTACATGACTTCATTTAGGAACACATCTAAATGTGAATGCCAGTAAATGTATGTGCAGGAATTGTATGAAATCACTTCGGCGCGACACACACTCGAAGGGCTGATTGATGTTGCGTTACTGCACAAAGAGTGTGGCGACGTAGTGACGGCCCACTGCGATCGATTTGCTTAGTATGTGGTTGATAAGGGGGTCCACTGCAACAATGCGTCAGTTTCATACAGTAAGCAGCCTGCTCAAGATATTAGGTTGGTTTGATAATCATTTTGCTCAGTGACCGACTTCATCACGGGTAAATTTGAACAAGCTGTGAATTAAGCAGTCTGGCGAAACAAAACAGCATTTTTAGGGGTCGGTCACGCTGAAACACCGCCGCCAGTGCGTGTTCAGGACACTATCTCAGCAGCTATAGGCAGATATTTCGAGGCTGTCATTTCTGTCTTAATTTGTTTTGACATGGTGGACCACCCAATTTTACATTTTGGCAGTCATGGCTAGTCATGCCATCAGGAGTCAGATCTATATGACTGAAAATGCTCATTTCAGTCATTTTTAAGCGCCAGAACAATACTATTCGTGCTGACTAGTTGCGCTAGATCAAGAGAAAACGAACACGCTTCTGCCCCACTAGACACTGCTCCGGTCGTAATAAGCCACACCGAGTCACGTACTTCGGACTACTGTTCCGCAAACATCGTCACTCAGCATTAAAAATAATAAATCGCATGATTTTACGAACTTGATTTTGTCCGAAACTGGCATTGGCCTTGACGTTGACAGCAATACCGAAGAATGTTTTCTGGAAGTAAAGACCTCCTTTCCCGCGTCATCAAGACCGCATTGCTCTAATGCCCATTTCAACGATACACAAACATTAATTGAGGCCACATGACCGTGGTGATTCCGCGGCCATGGCGGGTACAGTTGTCCAACAACCGTCACACTATCTTAAAAGTAAATAAACGACATGACATATGCCTCATCAGTTACATATCATCACATATCATCAGTTACATGTGGTTCATCACTTTAACTCATGTCACAATAACGTTTGTCGGGACAACCGCCTGCCATTTGGATCCTTCCGACCTTTCTGCTTTATCTTGGGGCAACAATTACTCAAGGCGAACAACATTGGAGAAATACTCGAGACGACACGGGGTGTGTCCCCGTCTTCGGGTCGTCCGTCGCGTTCGTTTACAACACTGCACCTTTTCTTTTCGATTGGACCATTTCGGTTATCGTTTAATCAACTCGAGCCTGAGTTGATAATGTGAACGATGAGCTTATGTGCGTTCCGATACCGACCACTATTGGTGCGAGTGTCTAGGCTTCTTCACGCTGGCTATGTTAAGCTCACTTGTGAACACGATGGTCGGTTGGCAGCTTTATCGGATAATCGACAAGGCGTAGTTCCAGACTGTATCGTTAAATGGGTACACATGCACTCACTGTTAACGCATTCCGGTCCTTTGGCCGAGTCGATGCAGTAATAGCCGCTCTTGGAGCACTTGATGTTGCGACAGGAGGTCCTGTATTCGGCTGAAAAAGTTGGAAGCTGCAAGCATGTTCACCGCATACTTGCATGACTGAGTGTCACCATAATGACATTCCATAATAATTTATAGATGTGGTATAACTACATACTTTAATCCATACGCTTGGGCTTCAAGCGATGAATTGTCGGGACTGTGCTCTAACTTTCCCTCCATACCAACTTTTTTCCCTGACCCAAATGTAAGTAAACACAAATGGGACTCATATTTACTTGTGATGTCAAACGAAGACCGACACTTCTACAAGGCCGCCAAGTAGCGGTTCGCCGCTTAAAAATCCAGCTAGACGAGAACAGGTTTAACTGGCGCCAGACATGCAGGCAAAGGTGGCTGTAGGCGTCCGAAGAGTCATTTGACCCCTGGCCTCTGACCAGATGGGCAAGGTCGGCGGGCGCGAGACAGTGTCCATGTTACGCAATGGGCCGGCCCGACGGGCGTGACCAGAAATCGCTCAGGCGCCGGGCTTAAAATGGAATCGCGGCCGATTCGACGTCAAAACAGCGCCAACAGGTGCCGCCGAGTCTGATGAACCGGGTTAACTGATCGCTGACTGGCCATGTATGCGCTGACACGCTGATCACGTGGCATCAGCGCAGGCCTCACAACTCAGCCACGTCGGGGGCAGGTTACTCACTGGGCTGCACGCATCCCATGTCGCCGTCGCTGTTCTTGCAGCACTTGAGCTCGTGCGGGCACTGGTGGTCGGTTTGGCAGAACATGCCCGGCCTCAGCGTCAGGTTCTCCTCGTTCGGACACAAGTTGGGCTTCTCGCCGACTGTGAAGATGAGCGGTATGAATGTGCTGTGTCACGCGGAACTGAACCGCTCAGCGTCAGACGCTCACAAGCGTATGGTTAGTGCTAACTGCGCGTGTCTGAGCAGACTTTTCGGCCATCTTCTTCCATAATGAACTTCTTGGGGCCTCTAAATGCTTAAATAACTAAATATTCATCAGATAACTTTTCATATAGAGCAGTCAGCATCAGCTAAGCAGCCGACCTAAATGTCAAGAAAGTCACTCTTATTCTATGACAAATAACTCTCATGGTGCACAACAAGAACGTACAACGGCATAAGCGCTGACAAAAACCAAAGCGATTAACCGAACGGTACAGGAATGGCACCGTTAACAGCAGCACGGGGCGCTGTTCCAGGTACATGACGTGATCAATGCTTTAAAGCCCATTTCGTGCTCTGCGGCGGCACAAGACGATGTCGACCTTCTGAGGCCTTGTGAGTCAGGCAATTATTCGCAGTTCGCAACGCCGCGGCTGAAATAGCCGGCCCCTACCATTTGGACCGGGGACTGGAGATCTGCGAATTCCTCTGTGACATTAAGGGCTGAATTTTGCCAATCCAAGGTCAGTAGCTTTTTACTGACTAGTGATTATATGAGCAGTAAAGCTCTGCAAGAACCAGCCTAGTCACGGCGCTACTAGGATGGCATCACTCGTGAAGAAGAGATCAAACCTACGCGAACAGAGAATGTGGCTGAATTATGCATGAAGAAAATATAGGTGGGGAGTCATAACCTGGATAATATTAGTCAAAAACATCGTGAGCTTAGGTAGTCAAGGCAAAATAGTTGCACGGAAAATTCCGCTAGATTTGGTGACGTTTTGACCGGTTTCAATTTAACAGTTTCTCGTTTGCAGTGATTTGAGTCTCGGTCCCGAATGAGATTCGGTGTCTTTTTTAATGCACAATGCCCAACACAAGTCGAATGGTCAAAACCCACCTCCAAACCCATGCGCAGTTCTTGAAAACACCCACCCAAGTACGAACATCCAGCAAATTTTCGCCTAAACGGCTGGCCACCGTAACGTGTTCCACAAACCAAAGACCCGTGAACTGATGAGCTAGATGCCAGCGCATGCGTTTTCGGCCACGACCAAGCAAGCCCGCGCCACATCTACGTGACCTAAGAAGAGGTCACAGCCGAGACAGCCGCACGACATCGCGCACCGTCCCGCAGCCCGCTCCGGTAACGGTGCGCCCCAGCGAGCGACGGGCGAGGCCGGCCGCGCAGAGCAGGTCTGGGGCTTCGCGCGGCCGGAACCTGCCAGCAGGAATCCGCGCGGACGAGTAGGATGACCGCACGACCGCACGCGGTGGCCGGCGGCGCCAGCCCCGGCGCCGTGACGTCACTGGTCGGCGTGACGTCATTGGTCAGGTGACCTGTCGTTAAGTCGCAGGCATCCGGGTCCCCCGGCGGACCGCGGTCACGTGTCGGATTGACTGGGAGGGGGGGTGGGGTGCGCCTGGGTGTGCCCCTTGCCGAGGCCACGGTTCGGGTCTCGCTAGTCGCGCGCGTGTGACGGTCGCCTGCACTTGATATCGACCTCACATGTTGCAACGAGCTTTATGTAGCTGTGGCATCTCCGCCGGACGAACAGGTCTGTTGACTCGTTCGATCTCATTATGCAACGCGAGAAAAAGCTCGAGGCTGTCTGAAACAATCAGAGGCCAGGGAGGATGCAGAGTGTTTGATTGCTTGTCCGGCGTAGTGATTCGCTGCGTACGTTCGAGTTCGCGCAACTAACTGAACTGCCTTTGATTGTGGTATTCAAGCACTCCGTTCAGAACACGTGCCGTTGTATTTCGTATGGAAATAGATGCAGCCAAAAATCGCTCTTGAGCGAGGATACAAGGGTGTTGCTTTCATTGCATCCTTCTTCGAAAGAAAAAAATCACTTCTTTGTAATAAATGATACAACAGCGTTAGGGTAGCTTACAGTCATTTAAGTTACGCGATTGGGACTGGAAGGTAGAAATGCTTCTCTTCTTATATAAAATCGATGTATTGTTTTCAGAGTCAACTTATACAAGCGAATTTCACTTACGGCCAGCTCGGTCTTCATCATAATCAGACATCATTTCATTTTGTTTTGTAAAGACTTGTTTTAGACAAACATGCATTCATGAATGCCACCTTCGTTTTCCTAAGAGGTCCGCAGGTGCTTCAGCGAACTCCACAATGCTCCCTAGCTCCCGGGCCCAGGTGCCCATTGCGGTATCGCTTCCACGTACTTTTCGAAATTTATCCGATTTGCGGTGAGAGAGGCTCCACAGATCTCCAAATCTGCCTTATAGTCTAAGTAATTCTCAGACAAGAAGCTTGTTTCCTAATGGGTTTCTAGGTCACACTGACGTTCTACAGCTCAACCTCGTATTTCTTCAGGCATCGTTATCAAAATAAACCCCTTTGGCAAAGCCAGGCGGGACACGATAGCTCTGGAGTTCTACGCGCCTCGTCATATAGGTTAGCTCGACATCAGAAGTAGGAGTGCTCATCACATCTTCGTTGGTCCTGACACCCATGTTTCAAAATGGCAATAATTATTTGGTAGTTTGTGGGAGAGTGCACGCCCAAAATAATGTATCCACCTCCAACGTGACACACATTTCCACAAATTTGAATCGCTGCCTGTGTGGCAACGCTCCCTTGATACACCAACCTTCCTGAGCCACTTGGCACACTCCACGATCCTTCGGCGCCGTCACACGAGGCGACCAGTGGTTGCTATGCCCTCCAGGCCTGGTCTTAAGCACATACATACGCCCTTGCCGCAAGGAAGGCTCACCGTCGACAGGCGGGGGGCGGAGCGCCATTTTTACGACGGGCCGCGACCTTGCGAGGTCACTCCAGCGGTGGTCCTCGAGCGGTGCACCGCGTGACCTCCGTCAGGATTACTGGCCCCGAAGCAGGGGGCTCACTCGGAGCCTGTCCGAGCCCATCAGATGGATAGCGCTTGTAGGCGCATCTTCACAGGACCCGACCCGGCGGCTTCGTCACCATCCGCAGCTCGAGCACCGTGCAGACGCCCGATTTCGCAGTAGCGACCGTCCTGAATGCTGAGCGCCGTCTGACGCCGGCTTTTGTTTCAGTCGCTGACGTGGGCCCATATGTCGATGTCCTAATCAGCGTCGGGCCCGCTCGTGTCTCCCCGATCTTTGTCACATTACGCGCCTCGTTATGCGCGTCCGTCGCTCTTGGCTATCGTCGGCGTGCGCCGATCGCACGCCTTAATCCCCGGCGTCCCTACAGCGCGAGCCATACACGTTGTTAACGCGGACATGATATACGCCGCACCCAAATCGGCATTAGCCACCGGCCATAAAGTCTCGGAATGCACCTGCACACGAGATTGGCGCATCTCGCGCCAGACGGCGGGATGGTGCCGTCGCGACCCCCGCCCCAAACGACACGCGACCGGCGGCGGCGGCGCGGTAGCGCGGCCGTGGACACCATCAGCGGACACGTTTGTTGTGTCGGCCGGCTGACTACGACCTCCGAAAACACGCCCCGAGTCTGGCCGGCACGGCGCGTGTCTTCTAAGCCGGGGCGCTGTATTCTGCACAGCGCCAGGCTGCGGACCGCGAGGCTTCGGCAACAGAACTCCTCGGCGATGGCTAACTAAAGAGGGGGCATCTGCGTTTTCCTCTTCACAGTTGCCTCACTCACAAACTCTTGTCTGGAGGAGTTTGTCGAGGTGAGCGCTGATACCACGTTCACCCGGGGTGACTATGGTAGCCTCGTGGCCTGTGGCTGAGCGTCACTGACGTGCCTGCCACCGAAGCAGCTGTACTCTCGACCCCTCAGCTCGAGACTTTGCTGGCTGTCGGTCGCCGTAGCTTTGAGCCGGCCCTTTTGTGCATAGCGTAGGCGTACAGCTCGCCCACGACTGTCCAGTTGTTACATAAGACACTGCTAGCTACGTTGGGCTGCCGTTGGACGGTGCCAACTGCGCTTCTGATTTCCCAATGGGCTTGACCCATTTAGTTGCCTGATAGGAACCTTTGAATTATCAAATTATTTATAGTTACCAAAGTACCAAATAATTACTAAATAGTAACTAAATCACCAAATAATTTTTTTTAAATATCAATAATTAAATCAAGTACCAAATTTGGCATGGTCGTGCGAATAGCGAGCGCTCGTTCTGCATCGCTCAACAATCCCTCCGCCATTCACACCCAGGGACGCCCTGGGCTTTTCAGTTCGATTCGGACCACTACATTTTAGCTCAGATTGCTGCATTTGACATACGATTTTACACATTTCAATACATTTAGCTTCACCCGCAACTCAGCACCGTCGTTCCCATCGATCCTAAAATATGTTATCTTCTTCGAACTGAGTTGCCTGCTACGCCTGCTTATGCGCCATCTCGTTACAGCCTGTTTTAAGGAGCCTTGTTTCCACTCTGGCTCATTCGATGTGCAACCATCCTTTTTCAAGAGTTCCCAGACACTGACCCGTTCTGCCAGAGAACACACAAGAGCAGCAACTCCTCGACTGGCCTGATGACGTAGGCTGATCAAGTGACCTGGGCTGATCTGGAGATCTGAACTGACCCGGCTACACGCACTGTACTGGCGACGCGAGCAGATACGGCGACCTGAACTGAGCCAGCGACGGGGCTGACCTGGGGAGCTGGACTGACCTGGTGTGGAGCACTTCCTGCCGCAGGGCGAGTCGCAGCACTTCTCATTGCCGGGGCAGTCCTTGTTGCCGATGCACTGGTCGTCGCGGAAGAAGCAATGGGGCGTCTCTAGCTGGGCAGGGCAGAAGCCCGGGTCGTCTGCAAAACAAGCCGGCGCGCTGAGCGCAGACACGACGCGGCAGTGGGGCTTCGGCCGCCAAATACGAACGAGGAGGAATGTGGCGGGCAGCGCGGCCGCCGCGTGGAACGCAGACGCCGGTATGGCCATTGTTGTTCTTTTTATGCGTGTCGTGCTTGATACGTTAGAATAGCGCTGTCCACGCCGGTCTGCGAGAATGGCTGGTGAGCTCGAGAGGAGCGCTTATTTTGATTGAGCTGTGGAACCGGAAAGCAGGGACAGCAAAATGCGGATGGCACTCGGCTCCTTTACTTAATGCCGGCCGAAAGTATTAGCTATGCCGCGAGCGTGCGCTGCGATTTGATTGTAAACATCGATGCAGTACTTAATGCACTTGTGGCGACCAGGGGTGAGCGGTATAAGTCCGGTAAGCTGCGAAAAGATGAGGAGAAGTGACGGGAGTGGGAAATTTGCCGCTCCCAATTCTGAGTCACCCAACTTCGCTTCTCCTCGGAGTCAGACCGCCGTTTCCGGTTGACCTAAAGTGGACCCGTAAGCCTAGATTGATCCTGACACGTGCTAACGCGATTTTGACACGTCCTCAAAAAGGTCATCTCAACACGGTCTTAAAACAATCCGTCGTTAAGCTTGTGAATGTCACATTGCGGTGTCACGGGAGAACGCAAATCTTAAATTCGTTGAGGCGTGTGCCTGTTTCTAAACGTGCTTTAAGGAATAGGTAAATCCATGAATGAGATAATAGTATTATCCTTACTCCTCGGAGAAAAACCAAGAGAATGGAGATGTGGGTACTTTGAGTTTTCGGCAACATGTTGTTATCGAAACAATAGCGGAACAACCCTTCTGCTCTTGTTTCGAAAAAGGCATCTTGCCCAAATACCAACCTATGTCTCCACTCTCCTGTTTCTTCTCCGAGGAATAAGGTTAATACTACGGTCTTTTCTATGTGGACAATGTTCCTCGCTTATGCACTGAACATCTTACGTCATGAATGATAAGTTCATGAAATCCATGGGCTGTACGGGACTAAATGACGCATTTTCCTGACAGATGAATAAGATTTGTCATTGCATTAAGAAGGCTACCCCAACGATGCGACTGGAGTAAATGGAAAGCTTTGACGTCAGTTTCGTAAGCATTGTGCATGCTGTACGTATGTGGTATATTGGCCCATTCATGCTCAGTTCTGTATTACAGTACGAGTTGGAATGAATATTGAGGTTAACCTGGGTTACTCTTAAGATAGTTTTGCTATAGTAGAGCAAAATGTAATCGATTTTAATGGATTGAGAAGCATTTTTATGGGTCTCTGATATGAATTACACTTATCTATAAAAATATTAGAACCTAGGGGAGTTTGAACTTCAGAAAGAAATTCCGTTGAGGTGTGCATTTCACTTAAGGCTGGTCATTGAACTGCATTTCATCTTGAAAATAGAATATTTGAAGATCTCAATGGTTGGCGCAGTTCAATGTGCTCCACAGCCACACTCGCCCGTTTCACTATCCATGAAACCAAGTGAAACTATGTGCGCCACTCGCTGACTGGAGGGGCGGGGAGGGGCGGGGAAGGGGCGCTTAGCACCCGGCATCCTCCTGCCAAATAGTGAACGCATTCTGTGTCGTGCTGTAAAACCAATTCACCACATAACCTGTCACGGTGAGATGACAGCGTAATAGTGATGAGGGGTCAAGGTGAGGGGTGAACAACCACGCAGTTGTATCGCCCCGCAGCCCAAATCATCCCCTACACAACCCCACAGCACGCGCATTATCACTAACACCACCTCTGGCAGCGCCAAACCCGGTTAGCGCCGACCGCCGTGGCCCGCGGCACCCGCTCGCCGCTCGCCGTCGGCCACCGGAGTCCGGACCGCCACTCACCAGCTGGCTTGCAGATCTTGCCGCAGCCGGTGCGGCAGCACTTGCCGGAGCCGGGGCAGTCGGCGTCCTGCTCGCACCACTCGCCGCACGGGTCGTTGCCCTCCGCCACCGGGCAGATTCCCGGCCTCTCTTTCGCTGCGGACGGCACAGAGGGGCGCGGTGAGAACGGGGCTGGTGTGTCGTAGTGGCGCCGCTGGTGCGAGCGCGTGTGCGGAAGGGGAGCCGACGAGGCCGGGAGTGAGGGAGGCGCACTGCTCACCCGTCCTTGCCGTGGGAGCTGCACGTGGAGGCTCTCCCAACGGACAGCACTCAAGGTGGACGAGCATTTCTGAATGATAAGCTGCAAGTAAACTCCTGTTTTGTTTTTGTTTTTTGCTTGACCCACATTATTCTACTCTACCAGGACATCCCATGCATTGTGGCAATTCGTGGTGCCATGACAAAGTGTTCCGACGCCCCGACAAGATATATCCTAAGGTCATGGCGTTCTGCCACTGTCAGCAGCATCCTTGTAGCTGCCGTTGTAGGTGTTCACGGCATGGACTTCCGAAGCGCATCACCTGGCAGTCACGTGTGGTCTGTGTTAAGTATGACGACGCTCTCGGGCGTCTAGGCCAGCTGCACATTTAAACCTGGAGATTCTCAACGAATTTAGATGGCTGCTGCCAATAACAACCACGCTGGATATATCCTCGGAAGTCATTTCAACATTTTTCCTTTAAATCTTGCCTAGAAACAGACCACGTATGGCCCTGAGAGGCCCCGTATGCATTGTTCTCCCGAGCAAAAAACTCCGACAGATTGCAGGCTGCCTGCCCTTCCGTGACACAACAATAAAAGCAGCATCGGACCGCACCCCAATTCCTGGCTGTCAAGAGAAGTTGTTTGCGGCAAATATGCTCCGCTTGCGCAAGCCGCCGCGGATTACAGAGGTTGTTAGCCTCAGTATCCCGATGCAAATAAGCCGCCCTGATCGGCGGAGTTAACCCAGGCACCTGCGACACGCACCGATCCCGAACATTAAAAAATCAGCGAGGACGAGCAGGAAGTTCTGCAGCAGCATCGCTACCCGTCCCTGCAAGGAGCACAATGCACCTGCCGCGCCGCGGCAAGGCCCCACGACTCCGACCCGCTTCGAGACGCAACGATGCGGTATCCCCCGGACAATGGCCCGCTATCGATAAATCACAGATCAACGCGTCACGTTCTGGCACCATGAACAGTAATGACGAAGGCTGAGGACACTGAGGCGGCGGAAGGGGGGAGGGGGGCATTCAGACGTCAGGCTCCGCGTGCCACTCTGCTAAGCTGCGTCGTCATTTCCGCGGCGATCCTGCCAGCCGCACTGATAGGGCTCACCTGTGGGCGTGCAGATCTGGCCACAGCCTGCGATGTCGCAGCACTTGGATTCTCCGGAACACTCCTCGTCATCATAGCACCTGGTGCCGCATCCCTCGCTCTTGATAGCGGCGTGCAGATACAGAGCTGGGCAGTAGCCGGGCTTCTCTGAAAACGACGAGATTCCGCGATATAAAATTAGGACGATTAGTGCGGCGTTTGTGGCGATCTGCTAATGCCCTGCGCTCTTCTGCTTGGCTGCTGGCATTGTGGCGCAGGAGCATCACTGCACTCGCAGCTGTATATTTATGGCCTCTGTAGTCCGCCCGCTGAACATTAACAGGATCGGACCTTTCACAAGTACTGCCAAGGACGCAGGTGATGTTCATGTTGAGGTCGGGTGTCCGGCTAAAGCACGAGCCATTACGATTAAGCCGATTTGGCCAGCGATGATGGCCTTCGCTTCCTCCATCATAGGGACGACGTGCAAATAATATCGCAGTCAGCGTGCCAGCTGTTATCGGGTTTCGATGCGCGCTGTTTTCGCACAACAAATGATGATCTTCCTCAAAGATGCAACAAACATTGTGCGGTTTGTATGCACTCCAGCCGGCACGCGCGATTCAAGCAAAACAATTCTAGCAGCCCGCAGGATGATGAAGACTGTAAATCTCAGATCCTTGGTTATGAAGATACTTAGGTTTCAAGGAATAATTTCTGGATATCCGAAGGGCATGACAGCACAAACAAAATCATGGGATGACACTTGAGCTGGTTCCTAAACGAAAACACGCGTGAGATGAGAACGAGCGAGGGAAAACGAAAGAAAGAATGAAAAGAAAGTGAAATAGAAGGGGGAATAGCTCGATGGCGTCCTGAAGACGGACATTGACTGGTCAGCTGCGAGAGGCCAATTATTGTTTACCCGCATCGAGAAGTGCAAAGCTAGTTCAAGTAAACACTGGGACGAAACGACGCTGTGCTGGGGCGGTGTCATCTATGAGCATATTTATAACTGGACTGCGTCGATGACATAGCCAGAAGTGAAAGATTCCTTGATTCATTGATCACATGTCTGTTGAGAGGCGCTTTCGACGCTGATCTGGGGCTATACGCAGCTGCGGCTAGAGCCGCGGAGCTAACGAAGCATGCCCCCCCCCCCCCCCTCCCCCACCTCATCAAGAAGGCGTTCGTGCGTTGGCCGACAGCCGGCGCCGGTTGCAAAATGCCCTCTCGCAACGTCACAACCCGCACAGCAAAAACGGGCGCGCTTAAGCAAATGGATTTCGAAACGCCGGTATCTCAGAAAATCTGTTGTTTTCGACACCCGACCTCACCCTGAGTCATACTTCAGGGAGTGGCCGCTACTGTAGGTCAGTGGCGCCTGTCGCACACCAATAGGATATTCGCTTGAAATAAGAGGTAAGTTGTACTTGCTATGGCAAAAGAAAAGTTGTGCAACTTGCAGAGATAAGTTTCAGCGGGCATTACGCTACTCAGGTCGAGCCAGCTCAGACCGAATCCACAGTTGGGAGACTCCTGACATCCTTCTCTGCATTCACCGCGACGTCCGCCGGCGTGTGCTGTAATTCCAGCCCGTCATGTGGCTGGCGCTTCCGCTCCAGCATTGTACTCGCGCGGCCCAGTCCCAGTCGCACGCTAACCTCGCGCGGCCCAGTCCCAATCGCACGCTTACCTCGCGCGGGCCCAGTCCCAGTCGCACGCTTACCTCGCGTGGTCCAGTCCCAGTCGCACGCTTACCTCGCGCGGCCCAGTCCCATCGCACGCTTACCTCGCGCGGCCCAGTCCCGTCGCACGCTTACCTCGCGTGGCCCAGTCCCAGTCGCACGCTTACCTCGCGCGGCCAGTCTCACTCGCACGCTTACCTCGCGCGCAGGCCTTCTTCTCGCAGTCGACGGGCTCGCGTGGGCTGCCACACGTGCACAGGTTGCACTTGTTGAAGAAGCTGGTGCCGCTGGGGCAGATGTGGTTGCCGGCGGGCGGCTGGCAGGAGCGGCCGCAGCCAGAGGAGCAGCACTTGAGGTCGCCGCTGCACTCATCGTCAATGCTGCACTCGATGGCGCAGCTGCCGCCGCCGCCCGAGGGAACACTGCATGAGCCGGCCTTGGCCAGGTCTGCGGCATGGAGCAGCGGTATCACAGGATAGCGGTATCACGGGGCAGCAGCGTCATGGGGTAGCAGTTTCACGGGACAGTGGCGTCACGGGGCAGCGGTGACACGGGGCAGCGGTGTCCGGGACAGTGGTGTCACGGGGCGGCGGTGACACGGGGCAGCGGTGCCACGGCAGCAGTGTCACGGGGCAGCAGCGTCATGAGGCAGCGATGTCAGAGATCAGCGGTGTCACGGGGCAGCGATGCCAGATGCCACGGGGAGTAAGTGCCACATGGAACAGGTATGGGAGAGTAGAGTGGGTTGAATCATGTTCAAGCAGTATAAGAGCGATTATGCCAAGTATATGCGACAGATGGCAGTTTTGAGTCACTCAGCTGACGCACAACAGCTTCGGTCAGTGTTCTTCCGGTGCACACGTCTTGGGGTGGGTGCGACATATATATGTACGTATATATATATATATATATATATATATATATATGTCGTCTGTTTAGCGCCATAACGTCTTGCGATCGGAATGAACGTTTGTATATGGTCTTGCGGCATATTCAGTCTTATCATGACGCTATACTGAGGGATGTGGAAGTATATGTGCCGTGTATTCCGCAAAGCATTTGGCGTATGCTAGCCATGGATTTTGGGGTGGCGCGATCTTACCCCATAGACATCGAGAAGTACGTTTTATATTGGCTGTGCATGGACATCTTGCATCATTAGACTGACAATGATGTTAACGACCGTTTTACCTTCAATATTTTACCCGTTTTACCGTCAATGATTATCTGAAATGATTGCCAAGGGTTGTCTCATTTGAAAGGGGTTTATTCTCAGACTTTATGGGCGCTGCACAACCTACGGCAGTCGATGCGTCCTAAAACCCCGAATCATCACCATCATCATCATCTCAGAAGTCATCTACCGAAAAAACGAAGACGTGTTCTCCAAAACTTTATCACTACATATGACGCTGAAGGTTATAGCTGTCTACTGATGTCAAAATCTCAGTAGTTACAGCATGCGGCAACTCAGAGTAAAAACTGATGCAACTCTCCTGACTCTTCCCCTCATGGACTTCAACTCTCCGTCTTCGCGGCAAGACCATGTACCATGGCCACGGCCTAAATTGGGCAGCAGGTCTAACATGGAATGGCAGTTACATGGCAGGGTATCAGTGTCTCTTGGAGAAGTCGTCACCGGCGATTACGTGCTACGGGAACAGCTGTCATATGGACCCAATCGTTCATCTTTTCTCCTTACAATAACCCAATGCGCTTAAGCTCTTCATGACAGCAGCTACGTGAATAAAAAAAAGCTATCCGTGCACGTGCTTGTGTCATTTTTGTTTTTACCACGGGCTCTAATCAGCGTTGTGGGAAAACATGTTTTGTGCTGGTGAGATTTGTTACTGGCGTCGACTAGTGGTTCGCAAACCCTCCTAATCTGTGAGTTTTCATAATTCTTCCAACATACCTCACGCGCCGTAAGAGACCGAGCGTGATCCATCGGACACTGCAGGTGCCAGTTTATGCTTGGTGAAATCGCTGTGATCATCCCCTCATGAAGCTGGGGATCCCACGCATATCGACTCGGCCGTCCAGCCCACAGCAGCCAAGGATAACCACTTTTACTTTCCGAACAAGAAAAATGTTTGGTTCAATCCCTCATCCCATGCAGCACCTTATCGACGGCACGAATCAAGGCTGTTTCTGAACACACCTACGGTGCAAATGCAAGGAACGAGCTGAGCGCCAGGTGGCGTCCAGGTCAAATGCCTGGGCGCATTTGCATAGCAGACTTGACTAATTGGCTGCAACCACATATGTTCAGGAAGTGGACTGGCTGTAGATCTGCAGGCCGTGTTCATGTACGTCGAACGCTGGGAGCCTTATCATTGCTAACTGGCATTAATGACGGGATCGTCAGGTTGGAAATTTACAACAAAATTGGTGGCACCAGATTAGATGCTTATTTGGAGCTTTACGATCTACGGCAATGCATGCCATGTTCACCTTGTCCTGAAATATGTAATGATCCCACATCATGGTGCTCCTAATGTTAATGTCCTGGTATGCTGCCGGCTGGATTGGCCCGCCGCTCATGGCGTCCGTGACCCCCAGCTGGGACACGCGACCTTGACCCGACCTGGCCGGCACTGGACGTCCCCGCACGCGGTCTGAGACGGGAATCGAATGTGATCGCTTGCGCTAGTACCACGACTCCGGACAGCGACTGTGCGTCCTTTACCAAGATATGCCATCATACTCGCCGCTGAAGTCTGCGTTTCACGAGGGAAACGCCAACTGCCAGACACTTAGAAGCCATGTTTGGATGGGGATAAATAGAATGACGCGAATTATGCCAACAGGAGACCCGGGATTAGACCGCCTCTTGTATACACAGAAAGACTCGTGAGCAGGGAGACTCCCGTGAGCTTGCAGAGAGACTGAAGTACGACTCGGGCCGTTCTCACAGGACACGACTCGGGCCGTACCCACAGGGCGACTCGGGAGCAGAACGATTCGGGCCGTTCTCACAGGGTATGACTCGAGTCGTTCTCACAGAGTACGACTCGGGCCGTTCTCACAGGGCGACTCGGGGGCAGAACGATTCGGGCCGTACTCGCAGAGACAGAGAATGTCTGGGGTGCTACTCACAGGGTGAGGAGCAGATGCGGCCGCAGCCGGTGCTGCAGCACTTGGTACTGCCTGGGCACTCGCCGTCCTCGCTGCACTCGTGCACACACGGCCCGAACGCGAAGCGGGACGGGCAGTGGCCCGGCTTCGGCAAGTCTTCGCCTGCAACAGGACATAATGGTGAGCATAATGGTGAGCATAATGGTGAGCGGGCGGGCTGGCAGGGCCGGCAGCGGGCTACTGGTTGCAGGTGATCCACGCGAAAGGGCTGTGGCATCGCGTCACGTTTGAGGGAATAACACATTAAGTCATCATGCAATACAAACACACGTACGAATTACGCTCCCGCGCATACAGACTTTTTACATCCTTTAGGCGGTGACCTTATCCGACGGCCAATCTAGCACGTGACACTGAACGGCGTGCGCGCAAGTCCATGTCCTCAGCTCGGTGGGCTCGGTCGGCGGCCGAAAAAGTTCGCCAGTTTGACGGAGAAGCACCGCTTTGCGCCCCCGTGACTTCAGCCCGGTGAGTTCGGGCGGGGCCTTGTTAACTTCGGCACACTGATGGAGAAACACCGCTTCCCAGCCTCCGTGCTCGAGCGGGGTGCGGGAAGACGCGGTATTGCTTCGTGCTCAGCGCTCAAACGGTGCTAGTCGCTCGGAAGATGGGGCCGGACGAGTCATGTTCAGCGTGCACCATAACCTTGTGATGACTATCTTCATATCAAAATTCAGGCATTCCCAATAGTTATTGTCATCGTGTCTTGGATATCCTTCGGTATCCTAGAAGTCTTGTCAAGCCTGATCTTTCGCCCACACACCCACAATCTCAGAACAGGAACGATGACATTGGCATGGGTTCGCCGCAGCGCCAACTGCGCCAGTGAGCAGAAGCTGCTGTTTTTATCCTCAGGCTTTTACACAACGTGCCTTAGCAATCAGAGCGACACAAGCACTGCAACAGGAGCGTAGTTAAATTAGGGCAACGGAACACACGTGCTTTTGCCTTCAGAATCTTCCCAGGCGAATCTTGCTCATGCTTATCAGGCAATAACTCGGATGTTTTGCGAGCCCTTTTCAAGTTGAATTGTGATTCATCTAGTAATTATGCTCCTGCCGTAGTAGACGACCGATTGCCTTCTTCCTGGTACATGCCCCATCACCAAGACTTTTCAAGTCGAGGCAACCTTACGAGGTTAGAGATCGACATCGCCAAGTGAAGTGCTTTAGGATAATGAGCGCAAATGATGACGACATTTGATCATTTAGTGCGAAAAGGGACAAAGGTCGACAGGGTTCACATTGAGTTCCAGTTTTGTCATTCTATCCACATTGGCTGTTGACATGGCATGACATGACATGACATTTTTGACATCTGGACGGCCATGCTGGACACGCATTGCCGTCCAGATAAGCATCTTCACATCCAAAGGCATCATCATATGCAGGTAAAGGTGCTCTCGCTGTGCGCGCATATCTAAAATTCCTTGTCGCAGCGTCCGCGATACTTCCACGAAGCCACATGAGCAAATAAAAATAACAAGAGTAAAGCCGTGTGAGAGGAGCTCAGTTTTTGTTTTGCAGTGGCTGTACTCCAAGCGCTCCTGCCAACTTATACAAACAGCAGGAAAGCAGCATACTGCGCTTAGATATCGTTAACAATTATATGATCTCGAGAAGGGCAAAGTGAGCTTATTTACAGGGCACGCACAAGCATGTCAGCATTATGGGCTGTCAGAAACCCGAGGTTGTTCCTATGAGCGAGGTATTGCTATGAGCTGGTGCTGTCGTGAAGCCTATTATACCCATACGTGCGTGCGCATAGGTCAGGTACGATGTTTGTGGTCATAAGCTCATGTCAACAGCACGCTACACCGCATGTCCCGTCCGTGTGCCCCTGCAGGGTAACACTTGATAGCACATGCGGCCTCTGGCGACACGCTTTGGTTTGTTCTGGCTTGAGAAGAACTGAGCCATTTCGAAAAAGGCCAGTTGACGTAAGAGCCAGTTTTGACAGATATCCTGGCAGTATACTCGTGTTGGGTGCGCATTTTTGAAGTACGTACATGTTGAAGATGTCCCATATCCAGCACAGAGAGCGTTCAAAGCATGTCCAGTACCAAGAGCTCGCGATGACCACCGCCTACGTCAGCTTAGATGACGCGCCTGTCAACTGACGCGCTCTGAAACTGAGATAGCTTGGTCTTCGTGAACTAAAAAAATGAGCGCATGCCTCTCCAATTTCCTGTCTGGAAGGAAGATTATACCACTCCCACCACAGCTACAGTGGGCTCTGAACCCACTGGCACGCTAAGACCTTTTGCCGATCGTATCTGCTACAAGTATCTGAAGCGCTACACGACGATTCACTAATTTGAGGGCGCTTTGTCTGGAAAATTGGCAACGCCTTTCGATTCGATGCATCACTGCCTAACAAGCCCGCATGTTGGCGCAACTTGTGGACAGAAAAAGTTACTTATATCCAGCAAGGCACTGCTTATTACAGCATCTGCGGCAGGTGCATGCCATGGTGAAGGATTCGAGTTCTCGGCAAGGACTTTGCGGTTTAATCCGTTATCGCGCAGACGGCAGCACTATCGACTAGGCGCTGAGTTACCAAGGACTTTGCTCCGTCTTATCATCTTGATGTAATCACTTCTGGCGTGTCTTAACGTTCCAGTGCCGCCAGAAGGCTGAGGGCGTTCGTGCACAATAATGTAAATTGCTCTGCGAATGTGTAACTTGTAACGCAAGCAAAAATCCAACCGGTAAACAGATCATATCTCGGCACCGTTTCAGATAACGAGTTTGCAACCTATTCGCAAGACAAAAATACCTGTAAAACTATTTTGACTTAGTCGCCAGGTGCTGCCTTCCCCAGAAAACAAGCACACTAAGCTGAACCGGACCGCGCTAAAAAAAAAAAACTCCTGCCCGTCGCCGCGGCGCCCAGGTGGTCAGACACCCCAGCACGTGACCGCTCGGGCACCGGAAGAGCGTAGTGGTCCGCAGGTCGTCAAGGTGATCAGGCGCGCGGCACCGGAGCCTGCATACGGTAGCGGGCGACTCGGCTTTGTCCCCGCGAGCGATGCGGCGGGGGTGCAGCCGGATGCCGGGGTGCGACGCGGGCGAGATCGTATCTCCCGCCGGCTAAACACGCCTACCCCCCCCCCCTCAGTGGCTTAGCACAGCACGAGCTCGCAAGAGCAGGTCCTTGTCGGGCTCAGTCCAGCACGAGCCTGAGTAGACTCTGACTCTGACTCTGATTCTGGGGAAATCCAAGAGCGCGCGTGGACATTCTCCAGTCGGGGCAGAAGGCGTGGGTAGCAGCATGCCGACCCGAACAGCTGAGGCCGGTGGGACGTGCAGTCTTCCGATGGTGGCAAAATGCACGGCTGCGGATCAATCTGTTGCTGTCACAGCAGAACGATCTGTGGGGATTTTAGCTCCTGCTTTGCCTGTGCTCTCTCGCTCTCTCTAAGTCAGTCATTCTTGAAAGTATCTGCAAACGGCTACGACGACTGAGACTGAGCAATTTCAGACCATTGGACATTGGATTCGCTGGACATGTAACACTCACCTACAGGCCAGAAATGCGCTGAACTGCTGATGAACATTCCAAATTCGTTCGAATGAGTTGCTGAAACGGTTTCTTTCAGTGATGCGATAGTTAACTAAGCCCACTGTAATGACAAACGGTGAGATCGCAATGACACCTGCCGTGCCGTCATTTATAACATGCCCTTGTGTCGTCATTTTGCCCGGAGGCGAAATCTGAAGTCCGTCTTAGTTACCCTGTTTATAAACCTTGATGTAAGCGGGAAGACGTTAAGTTCCCGGTTTTCCAGTTAATGAGCTATGTGCGCCTAAAATAATGGTCTTTGATATAACAGGAGGCACTGGTTAAACTAAGGTGTAAAACAAGTACATGTTATGAGAATTTGTTTTTAGAGAAAGTACATGTTTAGATGATTTGGATATATTATTAGGATTGCCCACGTTTCACGGCAGCACTAATGGTCACGAGTGTAACAATTCACGAGTCACGAGTCTTTGATACCTGTGAAATTGCACGAGTCACGAGCATCCATGAGCAGAAGGCCTGAAAAGTCTAGCACTGCCATGTAACGGAACAAATATTCCAATATTTTTGGGTATATTTCCGTTAGCCAGCCTCTCTTGACATGCTGAAGGTCAGTTACTTTCAGCAAAAGACCTGATAATCCTACGTCTTTCGCTTGGTGACATCCGAGTCGTGGTCAGAATGCGTCACCCGTCTCGAGCCGGCGGCGCGTCTCGTCGGCGGCCGGCGGGGGCTGAGCCGAGCCGGCGGGCTGGCAGCAGCGGCGGCGACGCGGTGCCTGGTGCCAGCCGTCCCGCGCCGCCGCCGCCGCCGCTCCCGCGGCCGAGCCCAGCCCAAGGCCGGCCCGCGGGGATTGGGAGTGCGGTCCAGGGCTGCCGGCGGCCGGCACCCAAAGACCAGCGCCTGACGTGCGGGACCTCGGAGAAGGCCGACTCGGCTGGGCGGAGGGAGAGGGGATGGAAGCGGGTGGGAGCGGTCCGACAGCTCCGTGCCGGTTTGGCGGCGCCTTGATGGTGTGCCGGTACGTTTGAGGACGTCTGGTAAGCTGACCGAGAGAACGGTGAGGGGCGTGGTGCTGCAGTTACACGTGCGCGATGGACGAGTACAAAAGCGTGAACTTGAAGCAGCAAGCATCAGTGCAGGACATGGACGCGACGAACCCATCGCGCCCATCCGTGAAGTGAATATAACACCCTTATATTGAGCTTAAGCACCCCATACTTAAGGCGAGCCAAAACCAACGGATATATCATAGGTGTCCACTGGTATGTCGTGTAGCCATAGATTACCGTCCATATTTGGTACAGTCCAAATTTATAGCTCCAGCAAAATGGCTCTCTTCTCGCAAGTCAAGGTCGGCGTGTAGATTTAACTGTGCTGGCTTGCCTTGGAAATGGTCAGTTTTAATTCCAATAAGAATATATCGGCAAAACTGAATCGCTACCATGTGCTGTCACTGTCTCCGCTATTTTGCAAAGCAGCTAAGCTGAACCTGTACCTTTAAGATCCGGTCATGACATGCCTGCAACGTTGTTCAGACTGGCTTTCCCGGCCTGGACCGGCCTTTGCTCCGTAACCGCGAGCCTCCGCACCATGCAGGTCAGCTGTACTTGACCTTTGACCTCGAGCTCCAGCCCTCACCACGGTCCTCCACCGGCCGTGCGTGCATGAATGCCACGTGATGGTGTGACACCGCGGAAGCACAGACCATTCCCGTCCCCCTGCGGGGGGAGGCGTCATGACCCCCGCTGACCTGGCTCCATGCAGACGCGGTTGGCAGTCGCTCTGGCAGCAGATCTTGCGGCCCGGACAGTCGTCATCCTCCATACACATCATCTGGATCTCGTTGCAGCTGGCCAGCTGGGTGAACGGACATGTGCCTTTCTTCGTCCGACCTGGAACAGACGCCGGCGGGCGGAGAGGCCTCGCGGTCAGAGAGGCCTCGGGATCAAGAGCACGGGTTGAACAGGCTAAGCGTAATTTCCAATGCAAGCATGTCCAGGGGCGTGACTTTCACTGATGGTTTGCTGGTGCCCAGATTCCCGTGACTTGTAGCAGATTTGGTTATTTTGTTGTGTTTTTACCAAACGAAATGGCTTCAAAATAAATCGGACCTCAATAACATCTATATTTCTTAGGCCACCAGCATATCCGTGATATGGTTGAGCTATCTCGTGATGGAACAATGACATGTCTTTCGCAGGCGATAACAGAATTTGCAGGCAGCGCGATCATAATAGCTGTTGTTGAATCGTGCCTACAGGTACTTATCACGGTGACTGTGCAGAACATAAAAAACTATGCTGGCAGTGGTTTTAGCTGGCATACCGGCATGACTTTTGCCCTATCATGACCGTGCCAATAAGCCCGCCAAAACGTGTCAGCTAACAGGGCGGATGACCGACAAAAATACCTCCTAGTCAGTCTGCAGCTAGTCGACCTTTGCGTGAGAACGTACGCTCTGATCACGTCCGCTCTCCCCAAAGGCGTAACTGTACAGTGTACAGTCATACACGGACCTGACATGCCGACATGAGCCCATCAATCGGTGTTGCCGCCACTTCATGTCTGCATGTGGCCAGAATGGCGTTGCAGTCTCACGAGAACTAGATGAAGACTGCGCCGGCGTCTTCTGAAAACTCGTCGCCAAATGGTGCGCCATATAGAAAGTGCGGCATGACGTCACCAAGAGGGGGAGAGCTCCTCTGAGGCCACGAGGGGCCGCCGCTTCGACGAAAAAGGCAGGCTTAGATGTGCTTCGATACTCCTGTCTCGAGCTTGCAAATGCACATACCCGAGCTCCGACCAAGGGGAGGAAGAAAAATCCCAAGTCTGTGTAAGCTAACATGACATATATCGGTGTTGAATGTCAAGACAGTCCTAAAGCCGTATGACGCTCTCATCCAGGTTTGGACCCGCGATGGAATCCCTGGAAATGTCTTTATGTGGGAAAAGCGGCTATCTTAAGTGGATGCAAGACATTAATGAAATGGCACTTGCAACTACAAAGCAATTACAAAAGGTTTATAATTGTTCACGTAGTAGACTGCACGAGACACCCACACACCCACAATCTGCATGTTGCCATGCACGATTCGCATTGTTAACTCATGCAAATTTATTCCTCCTACAATGCCTTACGGTGGGTAAGTTTGCTAAGGGAATTAGTAATGTATGGAATGACTAAATAAGCATCCGTCGCAAGACTGTTGAATGAACATGATAACTCTATGTGCATTTGCCCACTTAGAATACATAGTTCTCATTCCCCTTGATTATTTATGTAATTTAAAGAAGGGAAGCCATTTTCCGGGAGAATGAGTGCCAAGTGTTCGCGATAAGCTCCCTGTTCCGTCCCGTTGTGCCCAAGAACCTAAACGCAAACAAGATCATATGCTTGAGAAATCATCTCAGGGACCAGTGCTAGGGAACTACAAAAATGATCCCTTAGATGTCACGTGGACTCTGCAGTGCCTGGACTCCCATGACCCTTGCACCACCCCGGATTTCTCCGCTACCCCCCCCCCCCTAACCGAGGTCTTGACCGTGAGGCGACACGACCCTTACCGACTGCATCGGCCCGGGGCGCAGCACTGGCTGCACCGGCGCCAGGTGCAGTGCCGGCTCCTCGCTGCGGCGCGCCTCGTACGCGGCGGCGCGGCAGGCGCGCCTCGGGCCGCTCCTAAGCCGCCGATGTCGCGTCTGGCTGCTGTTTGTTGGCCCATCCCCCCCCCCCCGCCGTCGTGCCGGAGACCCGGCCTCCACGCGTGAGGGGGTCGGCAGGAGCTTCCGTATTCCAGAGGCGTCTGACGATTGCGAGTCAAGAGGCAGTTGACCATCTTGTTTACAGATGAGGGCAGATCAACATGGTTGGATCGAGATATTGCCATAAGTGTGACACCATTTGCACGGTAAATCGTGCCCATCAAAATCAAATAGCCGCGTGTGTGAATGTGTTGCACCAAGCGGTGAAAGCGTTCGGCATGATCCCAAATGGGCATGTCTTCGACGCCGCGCAGGTCATGCAGCTTGCATGACTCACCGGACCACGGCCGCCCCCATATGCAACCAGCGCCATCGGACCGAGACTTCAATCCAATGCGTCTAACCAGCGTGCAACGCTTCTAATTACCGCGTGCGACGAGCCCGGGTAACGGCACAGCCTGTGGCAGACGGCTGCAGCTCCCGCAGGCGGGGTGTCGCCTCTGCCGCAGCGGCGCTCCCTCGGCGGGGCCGCCCGCCCCCGCCGGACCGGAAGCGCAGACCCAGACGCCGGGCCTGCATCATGCATGATGCGCACCGACCAGCCGTGGAGAGCGGCCGGTGTGTATGGGCCGGCTCGGACCCGGCGCGCGCGGCTACAGTGTGTAATCGGCTTCTGCTCTGTGTGTGTGTGTGTGTGTGTGTGTGTGTGTGAGGAGAGGGTGTATGCGCAACGAAACCGCACGTAGCTCTCACGCAAAACAAGGAACGGGTGCTGACAGGGCATTTGTTAGCCTCGGTGCAAGGCTTAAGAATCCATGTTGCGGCGTGGATGGCGATCTAACAGTGTTCGGTGCCGCAGCATGCCCTGTTCCCAGCTCAGATGAAATTGCGGTAGCTTGGGATTTTCGTGGATTCTATTCTTTCGTGGATTTATCTCGTGAATTTCGTGAACTTCGTGGTTTAGGCTTTGGGAGCGGGAGGTAGGCGATTGCGCAGATGATCTAGGTGCTGACATGAGGATTGTTCACTGTCCACTTTCCATGCAATCTGGTAAAACATTAACCTGTAGAAAATGTGATAATTACTCGTCAAATCTTTCATCTGATAATCTTCTGATAAGCGGTGAAAAGAAGCGATATTCTGCCTCTAATTGTTCCGGTTGTATCCCAAGTGCAAGTGAAATTTGGCCAGAACTGTCAAAATTTATACTGGCAGCGAAGCTTTCGAAAACATCATCTTAACCATCATAAAAAACCAGCAATTGTTCATTAGAAGCATCGATTTATGTCTGGTCGGCGCCGATCGCTGAAGATTAAACCGGATTATCTCGTTATATGCAAAAATTCAATGTTTTTTAATGAAAATGCGCTAACCGACACTTCTTTGTAACTTTTCATTACGCAATTTTCATTTCCTTGGTAAAGGACTTTGTGGCGCTTAAAGGTTACAACCAAGTTACGACTAGTTGAATGTTTGAAACATGCTGATCGTGCCGAGAGTTCTTTTAATGCAATGAATGGGTTTATACGAAATCCGCTCTTTCCACGCAACGCAAAGAGCAATATTAAAGGCGCCTGTCATCTGAAGGTAATGAATTATAGCTTGTTAGTGCAATACACGTGGGCACGGCTCTTTGCAGTCTGTCGTTGTGTAAAGTGAGCTGAAACGTGGTTTCAAAGTCTCCTTTTTTCTTTCTTTTTTTTGGTTAGATTTACAAAACCAATGGCTTGACTCATGAGAGTTCGCAGGCGGAACCTCCAACCCAGGATCCTGCTTGGGTCCTCGTGTCTGGAGTAAATGGGTAAGAGGCAGCCACCATCCTCCTTAACACATTGCTGTTCAAAGTAACTTGAAAACGGTATGAAAAGGCAGTCTTCGTGTGTAAGACTTGCTTTACCCAATCCAGGCGCTCCCCAGGGGCCGTGCCCATATCCACCAGTTGCGTATTCCTAGTCAAAAGTACCCAACCGTCATCCACCCATCCAGCATTTGAACTCCACGTTATAAGCGTTTCAGAAATGTATGGAGTCACAGAGTATACAGTAACGCAGAGTTTTGGGATCATATGTACGTTCCGCGAAGCCTTTAGTTCCAAACGTGCCGTAATTGGTCTTTCATGCTTCCTTTCAAAGATTTCTGTCACTATTGCATTGGAAGGTCGCATGTTACGTAGCGTCACTCGTCATTTGCGATAGATCTTTACAAAACCAGCAGATTGTCTGTCATGTTATGACAAAATGTATTACACATCGAGATCAGATGCAAGAACAGGAGCTAACCGGGTGGCTCATGCTCACCCCCCGGTTCGCCGATTTGGCATTCGACAAGGTTTTGTGGGTCGGAGCAAGGCTTCTCCAGAAGTTGAGACACGTGAGATGTGCGCCGTATACGGGAGAAAATGACGTATGTGGTAAAAAGTGTGAGCACGCCAGCGTTCGTGCGGCTCAATGAGGAAGTCGACTCGCGTGAGCTGCGTGCTGTTGGCTCCCCGTTTTACACATGCCACTCAACGCAAGGTTCCTTTGTATGATTGCGTCGGAAGCGGTCTCAACACGTCTTTTTGCGGTAAACAATTATGCAGAAGCCTTGCGATGCGTTCATTACGAGAACCAGGAAAGACGCAGGGCATTGCAGGTGCGGCACAATATATTTTTACCTGGTCTCATTACACGTGTCTGCCAAATAAAGACGAATAAAGTGGCGATTGTGCAGGATACTGACATTGGATGCCATCGTTTTTATCATCTGCGCGCATGGCATTATTTTGTCTTAGTAGTAGTACGCATTTTGTTGTTCAAGCTGACAACCGTAGGGTTCGTGAGAAGTGGGGAGGTGCGTTTGTGCATACACATCGAGCCGACGATGCCCAGACCGAAAGGTTCTCTGCTCATTTCCAGTGCACTGCTCACTGCACCCCTTATCTCGAACCGCCGGGATGGCAGGTGGCGAACACCTGCCGTGAAATCCTCGCTCTCTCCTCCATCCCACACCCCACCACTCCTTTAGCCAATCCTGAAACGGCCCCAAACCCAAGTTCATCCTGTGCTCTCGTCACCCGACTGCCCCTGAGCACCGCGCCCGGTCGGCGCCCGGCGGCACAGGTGTAGCCGGCCGGGTGCCGCTAAGTCCATGTCAAGGCGAGCAGAGCGGGCGGCGCCGGTCGGCGACGTCGCCGCCCCCTGGTCTGATAGCAGCCGGCAGCCGGCCCGCGCCGGACGGCTGGCTGGCCAAGTGCCGCACGCGCCGCCAGCGGAAACAGGGACCGGAGGTGAGGTGGGATCCGGAGATGAGGTGAGATACGGAGGTGAGATGAGATAGGGAAGTGAAGTGAGACCCGGAGGTGAAATGTGGACGGGGCCAGGAATCATGAGTGGAACACACCACTCACAACAAGACGAATTGTCAGGGTCAAGTGCCCGGGAAGTGGCCATAAAGGTGGCACGGAGGCTGGCGCGCATGCGTTCTTCAGAGAGTGCCGTCTTCGGGGCGTTGCAAAAAAACATTATGCAATGAATACACTTTACAAATACTGCAATGAATGAAGACTTCATATCGATGTACGTTACACCGAAATGTGTGCCTGGGTTGCCCACGGCACATGGTACGTATTCCACTTGCATTAAACTTTTATCACAAAAGGGCTTGCCAAAACTGCAAAGAACATTTTTCCTCTGATGGTTTCGAAATTTCGAAATGTAAAAATTTCGAAAAGAGAAGTGCTGGAAATAAATGTCGACAACCCAACGAAAACGCTGCATTCGTGATTTGAACGGCCAACGGTGTTTGTCTGGTATACTGAAGCGTTTGTCGTCACTCTTCCGCTGCATCGGAATATTTTTTGATGATATATTGCCATCGAACTAAGATGGCCTTGCTCTTTCATGCAAGTCACGAAAATTTGAATGTTGTCACAGAGTCGACTGAACAACTTCTTCTGCTGCACGAGAGTAAAATCGAACTTTTCTCGCAGATCAAGAAAGTTTGAAAATAATGTCGTGTCAGGAGGCCGAAGAAAGCACTTCGAAGAAAGATCTTGAAAGAATGAAGAAAGCGCATTACCACTTCTAGTGGAAAATCTAAGCCGTCGGGAAGAATTTGGGCAAAGTGTTTTTGCAATGCAAACCGGACACACGTAATCTATTCACGCATGTGCACGGTGAAATTCGTACTTGGAGAACGGCACTCACTCTTCAACGCACATGGCATTCCCAAGTTTTGGAAACGGTCAAAAGGATAGCGGGCGCCCACTTGCAAAAATTCTTAAAGGTTCTTAATGGACTTGGTTTTGGTCGCGAGACGCCATAAAAGCAATTGTAGGACAGCGCTGTACGTTTTGTAAACAGTACAAGATTGCACTCGTGTGTATGGTGCTCTACAGCATTGTTGTGAGCATTATGTTCCTGTTTGCAAGATGCAAACGAATTCCGTTCTTATGAAACCATCACAAAATAAAATTGCCCGCGTCTGTAACTGCCAGTCCTAGGTGATTAAAATGCAACTGGCAAACGGAATCCCAAACATCGTAAAGATGTAATTTAAATACACAACGTAGATGGCAGTTTTACCATACCTACGACGTGCTCTTATGTTTACATCACTCGAGAATCTCATAAGCACTATCCCAGAACCGATTATTTAGCTGTTCGCACAAATCCTCACGAGCTCTTGAACCTTTTCTGAGCACTGAAATATTTCAGACGATATATCACGTTGCATAGTTAAAAGCTGTGTTGACATTGAAGTGAAAACTGATCAGCCTGCCAGCAACCTGTCTTTGCTCCCTAGTGCGAGCAAAAAGTTGGGGATAATAAATCTACTGTCTTTTCACCTCCTATCGGATTGACTACAAACATAACCATTTGACATTACATAAACTGCAAGGTTCATGTAACTGGCCACAAAGTTTTGCGGATGAACTCAAAAAAGTTTTTCCTTGTAGATTTAGTCATTTTTCGAGATTTTCTTTAACACTTCGGTATAGCTATGAGCCATGTTTGCGATATTTTTGTCCGAAATTATGATCGCTGTTCCTTACTAGCAGAAGAACAATATGACGCGATAAAATGCATCTGCCATGGAAGCCTCTACAACAACTCTGAACAAACAATAGCTTGGGTTCCAAACATAGCTGCCGGCCTTATAAGAACGTTTGACGACATGGATCCAGATTCCAAATCCTGGAACCGTATTTGAGACCCAGGCACATGTCTGATTCTGCTCCAGCCCATTCGCATATTTACAAAGAAATGCAGAGCAAAAGCATGACTGTATTGGCGCTTCTTTTGCTTGTTAGTGAGTGCACGATCTTACGTTTTTCCATGTCGTCATTCAGCTTTGAGGCCTTTGAACTCCACCCAAAACTAACGGTAACAACTGCATTGCAATCATTGCCTCATTTGACGAGATTCACGCGACAAAGTAGTTAAGCATCTTCGAAGGACATACCAGCGGGTATACACCGGTTTCAACTAGCGGTAAACGGTACGGTAACGAAGCGATGAATGCAGGGGACCAGCCGGAGTGCGCAACCGATGCGCCTTCGCGTTACGCAACTCTAACGATACAGCGTTTTGGCTGGATCGGTGTTTGGGTTATCCCATGGTCTATGGCCGGTCCTGATCTTCAGCGAACACTCCGGAGTGGCGAGAAATGCTGTCGCCACACCTGACCCCGCCTGACGGCTATCATGGATTACCGGCTGGGTAGAGTTCCCTCGGCGTGCTGCGCGTGACGATTAAGGTCATCTGGCTGACGAGTTTGGCTGGTTTGGAGCTGAGGTATGCAATCGTGGCTGGGGGCAGCATGTGTTTGGTTGCCTTTGAATGCGTGTTTAATGTGAAACCACATTGCATGCCAGTAGGATACAGTCATGCGTTCATTTGTTGGCCGCACCTTCGGCAAGTAATGAATAAAACGTGCGGCTCACAGAGTACATGTGAGCGACTCAGAATTTGGCAAGGTAGGGAATGATATGCCCCATTGTATGAAGAGAATAGATATGGTGATAGATGTTGTTTCATGCTGGCAACTCACCCAAAACTTTTGACTTGGCACAGAGTGGGCGGATTCCTTTATACAAAATGTTGGAATGTGAACAAATATTAACGTCGTGTGTTGTTTTCTCTACGCAACCTTCAAGCATTAACTGACTCGCGCGCTGTGTCCATAGAGTCTATGACAATAATGAAGTGGATGTAATTTATACGATTCTAAATGGGAAAAAAACGATTCATGATATCCACACATGAATCTCTAATATCCCAGCTTTGGAATGTGCTTGCTGGCAACAAGACGCTCGGTGCTGGTAAGACATAGATGACTGCTTGTGCAATATCTCACGATCTGTCAGCTTTTGGGTGCTCAATAGGTCAAAACCTGTCAAAACCTGTCACTTGTTATATTTCGGCACAGATCCGACATGCGTGCAAAGAGGTCATATAAGTTCTGACATTGCTGGCATTACCCACAAATCCACTTGTCAATGCAGTAGAAGTCAAGCCATCTGACAAACTTTGCGATGCAAGTGAATGACATAATAAATAGGCGTTAATATCCAGCTGCTCAGACTTCCAGACTTAAACGCTAATCTGAACCTCATATCAAGCCTCCAAAGTTTTGGACACACAGATTCCAAAACAAAACCGCCGCAAGAGATGCCCCAGCACGCAACTCAGATCTCTCTCCACTCCACACTCTTTACTCCGGCAGAGACTCACCGAGGCAGACGGGCTCGCCGTTGCTGACTTTGATGATGCAGGTGGCGTTTCCGGCGCAGACGACATCGGCGCACTGGAGGCCGATCTCGAGCGGCTCGGCGGCGGCGGCCGGCGCCGGCGACGCCAGGCAGGCGAGCAGCAGGATGGCCCACATGCTGAGCTGCGGAGGACGCTGGGGTGGTCTGCCCTGACGCGGCGACCGGAGGCGTCTGAGCGGCCGGCGCCGCGCCGCCGGCCGGCTCCCGTGTCACCTTGGGGAGGAGCCAGTGCGCGCTGCGCCGGCCGCTTCCCCGAACGGAGATGAGCCGCGACCGCGGCCGCGGCCGGGGATGAGCCCGTGCCCGGCGGCGGCGGCGCGTCCCCCGGTGGTCGGACCCTCCCGGACACGGAGCCGGCTGGCCTCCCGCCCAGCCTCCCAGCATCAGGGCGAGGCTGCCCTCTGGGGGGTGAAGGTCCAGGCCGCGGGGGGTCAGGCGACCGCCGGCACGGCGGGCTCCGGAGCTGCGGGGACTTCAGCGCAGGGCGTGGGATGCAGCTCGCCGATTAGCAGCATCCGGAAACTGGGCTGGTAAGCCTTGACATTCTTGGCCATCGGTGCCCGCAGACGGCGACCTGCGGTACGGGCATCGTCCATGCCACCTCGATAAACGCTTCATTCGTGACCCACGTGCTGCCCGTCCCCAGCTGACTGTATTACACGTTGCATGCAATGCATAATAATGCGGTCTGCTGAAGTAACAAGCCTTCCAGAGGAGTTAGCCCAATGCGCCTCTAATAGGTCTTCGTCCGTATTTGTACACACGTACACAGCAATTTTGACATGGATAGATCAAAAGATGACGTATCAAAAGGACAAATACTTTGCGAGAAATTAATAAGATGCTGCCTAAGAAGATCCAAGCAATGATTCCTTACAGCAAAGGACATGAAATAGACAGGCAATATGCTTGATAGTGATAATTAACATTGAATTTCAATTCAACATGATTTATATTTTTACCACCTTCTGAAAAAATGCCGAAGAAACGATAATTTTACAAATATCAGGCAGCATGATAATGATGCACATATCGAAAAATATTTGTCATTATTACATAGCCTCATACTGACGGGGTCAAGCTCAAGTCAGCTGAGAACTAAGGGTTCACCTGTCAGTTCGGTACAAGCTATTACACATAACCCTCACAACGAGGCACCACGCTTCTTTAGAAGTGAGGAGTTTCCTGTCAGTTCGGTACAAGTTATTACACATAACCCTCACAACGAGGCGCCACGCTTATTTAGAAGTGAGGGGTTTCATGTCAGTTCGGTACAAGCTATTACACATAACCCTCACAACGAGGCACCACGCTTATTTAGAAGTGAGGGGCTTCCTGTCAGTTTGGTCCCGTTATTAAACTTAACCCTCACGCTGCTGAGGTACCACACCAACTTAGAGCTCAGGGTCCCACGCTGTCAGTTCGATTGCATGTTATCTCGGGATGGAATGAGGATAAAGAGACGAGTGGAATGTTTCTAGATAGCGTACACAATCTTCAACAGCTTTACGTTGAGGTTGAAGCCATGCTCATGTTGGGTCGTTTTGCATTCTCCGTCTAAGCTGCATAAGCATAATCCAGAAGTCTCCTCCGTAGTTACAATTTGGCGTCGGCTGAACAATTTGCCGAATTTATTAAATAGTGAAATTAACGAGAGTAAACTCAACTCGCATCATTGAAATTGAGCTCGGCCAAACAGTCGTCAAGCCAGTTACGTTTCAGGGTTTACGTAGGTCAGTGACCTATGATAACCTTACGTGACAGAATAGAGAACAAAACCATTTGTAAGACTGAATCTGAACGTTTTGAAGAGATGGATTTGTGGGATCAGCTCTCGCGTTAAGCAATGCTTGGTGTGTAAGCCCTGACCCCTAACATCCTATCGTGGCATGACAGGTCAACGGCAAAATTTGGTGGCAAAATTTAACAAAGTAAAAGCGCGTCACGGTCCTTCCTGCCCTCTGACGTCAGCTAACCTATAGTGCGGCCGCTGCCACTGGCCGCAGGTCATACCAGTCAAGAACAAACAGCGAACGCCCACCCCGCGAGCGATTCGAACCCACCCGAAACGAAAATCTAAAGACAAATGAAACAGCTAATTGCGTACTTGGGGCGCTAATTTTAAAATATGAGGTAGTTTTACCTCAAGTCGGTGACCTATGGCAACCTTTAGGGGTAAATATAGTCTACATTTAAGATGGTGGCGCTGTTGTGTCTGAAAGTGAATTGAAAGCGCATTATGCAACTAAAGAGCAAGTGTTTGAAAACTGGGTGGAAATGTCATCTAAGATTAATCACCTATGATGACGTCAGAGTACAGCTTAGAGATCAGATAGTAGCGCACTGCGAAGGAAATTTGGCAGGAAATATAGGCTATCACCTTCATCCGTATGCTAAGGAATAGCGTGTCTAACCTGCCCGGGGTCCGACATGATCCTTCTTAGCCCATGTTACCGCTGCTAAATATAGGTCATTGATCTGGCAATGCCGGCCGACCGTCCGTCAAAGCTTTGCTTGCTGGAGCTTAAAAGAAAGCTTATCAAAGCAATGCCGACCAATGGTCCGAAAGGCCGTCTTTATCAGACTTTCAGCAGACAGGTGTTCACTGACGAGGCGTTCGCGTGATAAAGGAATGTTGCATACAAGTTAGCTGGTTGTGGTATGACAGAGGACGGCTAATTTGAGTCGACGAAATCTGGCAGGTGTGAGGGAAAAAGCTGTGCGGTGATTCACGCTTCATTTTTGCTTAACGTTAGCGTGACGTCATTGGTGTGGATACTTCGCTGTGCGGCAGGCCGCTTGGCCTCGGACGCCATGCCGAGGGACAACCAGAACATCGAAATATTCCAACAGCCAGTGCAAACGCCGTTGGTTGACGGTGGGTGTATATGACCGGTGAGTGAATATGTGTAACTTTATGAGGACATGATGATGTGCCTTGCAAGCTTATGCCGCAAATATTAAAATGCAATGGCCTGAAAAATGGAGACGCACACGCGAGGCTTATTTGCAATAGGGTGGCAGGAACTTAAGGCTGTCTTCTTCCCGATAATGAGCAAATTGTTAGTGGCAGATGACTATGACCAGCAAGCCAACTGTACACACTTCAGCGACGAGTGTGATAATGTATTTGGCAACCTCAAGCGGCAAGCTATTACAATGGGCTTCGATCTCACACGGCCTCGCACCCCGTGGTCGTGTCGCCGCCGGTGTTACCAGTGAGTGACAGCGTGGCGAGTCTGTTGTCTGCTGCGGCTGAATGTTTGCCCTAGACGCGCCAGATTCACGCCAGATGCGCCGAGCTCGCTCCATGCCTATCAACATTCCGCGGTTCTAGGATTGCATCTGTCTACCATGCTGGCGTGCTGGGCCCGTACCTCCCCACACTCAAGCGCGCTCCGTCCGTACCTGTGTGCAAAGCCGATCGTGCCTGGTTCGTGCCTGTGCGCAGGCCGACAGTGTTTGGTCCCTACCTGTCTGCTTAGTCATCGTGAGTGTCGAGCGACGTTTGCTGTGTTTTTAAGAGATGGTGCACGTTGCTATGTTTTACGTCAAGGGGGGATGTGGGTAGAATTATGAATGGCGAAACCTACATACAGAGCACGCTATGTAACTGTGAGTCCTTTCTTTTTAGCCGGACCCACCTTACCTGTACAGTTGACGAATCCTTGTGTTTCATACGAGTGATAATACCCCTTAGTAATTGCATTTTACTCCAACCCTGGGCATAGTTTGCTGGCCACGGTCGCCACCAGAAATGATGCGGACACAGACTATCATGCGTACAAAGTCTCATTGGCAGCACGCGCGCCTGTGTGAACCTGGCTTGTGACTGGCTGTGTTTCGGCGTTGGTCACTGCTTGCTCAGCCTTCCGTGGCAAAATTGGTGCCTCGCAACAAAGAAGAGGCCTTTCTGCTTACTGCAACTTCTCGTAACGCTGCTACCTAACATCGCAAAAACATTTACTATCAGCGCTTAGCGCAGGATGTTGACCGGTCCCCTCTTAAGCAAAGAGCCAATGAGAGGTGCCCTAAGTTGCGGGGATAGCCATTTTGGTTACTCCTTTCGAGTCACTCCTTTTGGCCCATTTGGTGAATGCATAATTTTATGAAAGCTCGAGGCTCTCCTCTTGGTTAGTTTCCGCGCACCTGCGTACTGGTATTCACTTCCAACGCCCACTGAATTTTAACGGGTCCCTGGATGCAAGGTCGCAAAGCACATACTTATACTCGCCATGTAATCCTATCTGATCGGTTCGTGGATATACGCACCTACCACACCACTGATAATCCACTTGTTTCTGGCAAGAAGATAGTCCAATGTTCAGACCGCTTATCTCCAAGAGTCCGCGCGGGTACGTTTGGTTTTAATGTCATTTGCACATTAAGCGCTAGGCTTAAATTTATAATTAGCACATCATCATACTACCCATTAAACTCTACACATTTGGCCCCTAGTTACATGCACCTGTCTCCAAAAGTTTGATCGTTGTCGGTACGAAGGCAACCCGATATCCCGGCCACCCATCTCTGCAGGAGGTATTGCGTAAGGATATTCAATTTCAACTCCGATTTCATAGTAATGGTTGACCTCATGAGCTTGCAAGGCACATCATCATACTCGCCATCAAATTCGACGTAATCGGCTTGCTGGCCACATGTGCCTCCTGCTAACAGCTGTTCATTATCTGCGCGATGATTTCCGATGTTCCGCTGCCCTGCAGCGCTATGCCCCACGGTTGGTGGCCGCGCCGCATTGAAGTCTCGGCACCAATGACGTCACCGTCCCGTCTATAGCCCGTGAAAACTCAGCTCATGACAAAGCTTAGGAATTTTTAAGTACTTATTCAGTTAAATACCCTGACCCTGGTCTCTATGACTATGATTAGGGTATATACATTCATCATAACCCTGTTAAAAACATGACCATGTATTTACATACATATATATATATATATATATATATATATTATATATGATAGATCTCTCTCTCTCTCTCTCTATTCTCTCTCTCTCTCTCTCTCTCTCTCTCTCTCTCTCTCTCTCTCTCTCTCTCTCTCTCTCTCTCTCTCTCCTCTTCTCCTCTCTCTCTCTCTCTCTCTCTCCTCTCTCTCTCTCTCTCTCTCTCTCTCTCTCTCTCTCTCTCTCTT